ATAAAGTTCTGCTGAATTGTAATAATGCTAAACTCAACTAAAATTTTAAAATTAAATTCGAATGGCGGCGGGGGAGTCCAGCTGGGTCCACTCGGCACGTCGGCCACTGATTGGCCTATTGTACCTGCCCCGGGTGATTATTATGATGGAGAATTTGGTGGAATGAAGATTGGCAGGGGAAACCTGCCCCAACGCCACTTTGTCCATCACAAATCCCACTTGACCAGATCCGGGCTCGAACCCAGGCCGCTGCGGTGGGAAGCGAGCGACTAACCGCTTGAGCTATGTCGCGGCCTAAACTTAAGTAAAGTTTCTGTTATCAAAGCCTTCACCACCTAGTACATAGCTCACTGATTTCCAAGTTTTTGGCGGTTCAGCTCCCTTGTAATCAATCTTAATTGATCGGTTGCACTGTAGCCTGTCGCCATACTGACTCAGCTATCCCTGTTTCATGTTTTTCAAATTGCATTAATTTATTTAAAAATCGGGGACAAAATCAGTCTTAATTCAGGGACTGTCCCCGAAAATCGGAGATGGTTACTTTATATGCTGCATGGCAATTTGTTTCAGTACGATAGGTAAATCGTAGTTCCTAATTAATTTGCGAGTACATATCATTATATTAATTTACATGAAATAGGTTTGGAAACCAGATAGAATTTGTTTGCCATTTGACAGAAAATATGAATTGGTGCTTTCCGATGTTTGAATTTAAGACGAATCGAAACGTCTCGGTGGTTTTCTAAATTTTATTATAATACTGTATCAACTTAAATTAGCTGTTACAAACTAAAGTTTATGGAGTTAATATTTGCGATATGTATGCAGTAATGCAAATATATTGTTGACAGAAAGCTAAATGTTAACAATTGGTGTAAAGACATTGCACATTCTGTCATATGTGACTGATCTTGACTACGTTACCTTGGAGACGAAGTCGATTTTTGTTAGGTAGACCACTATTGGTGCCTATCACAGTGGTCGCGCGGACTAAGGGATGAACTACTAGCTTAGCCCGCTCAAACACTGGGATCGTGGGTTCGAATCCCACTTGATGCATGGATGTCTGTGTTTGTGTTTTCCTGTGTTGTGAAGGTAGCGGCCTTGCGACGGCCTGATCCCCCGTCCGAGGGGTCCTACCAGCTATAAAATATAAAGAAACTGAAAAGCGGCCAAGGTCCAACAAATGGCTGTAGAGGCATAGATACATACGAGTAGATGAGATAGACCACTGTTGATCGCACAGTATACAAGCTAATGCGCATACCGGCACTTTCCTGAGGATACCAGCTATGCGTAAAACACTGAAATGTAATAAAAATCGCTAGAGCTCTTTGTCAAGAAATTCGCCATTTTGGAGCACGAAGGGCAATCTGTACGGCTTCTATTTTTGGATCCCGGGTGTTCATATTGTCCAGACACCAACATATGATGGATAAATTCTTAAATGCTGTATACAAATAAAATCTGACCCGTCTTTCAACGGCTAGCGAAGGCCACTTACGTATTTCTGCATACAGAGAGACTACATTCCGAACACATTCAGAAGGGCTGAAAACGTACAAATTCTTAAAAATCTCGAGGTCGAGCCATACTTTCTTTCAGTCTAGATTCTGAAATGCACAGCACATGCAATGGATTAATACTGAAAGTAGGAAGAGATTCGTTATCCCGCCTTGCATTCACATCTCGGCCCGAAAATCGGCCATCCATAGGGTAATCGTGGCTCATCTGTCTCTCCAGGAAAATTTCGGGGCAGTACCCTAAATTAAGCCATGACCACTTCCTTCTACATCCTTTTCCAATTCACTGACCCTATCATTTTATTCTACATAAACTTTTATAATTGAACATAAACATAATTGAAAGCGTCGTAAAATACAATAAATATACACCATATGAGGGACACTGAGTCTAGGCAAATTTCAGTCGTTTTGTTGGCCGCATGATCGAAAGATAGGTGGCTCTGCTATGAATAGACATATCGTGTTTTGTGGCACTTTCAATAGATGGACCGATAGCAAGATAGGCGTGGAATAACCATAGCAACAACTAACGAAACATTCGTATTGTGTAAAAAGGGAAATAAAACGGAAAAACAAAACAATATCACACGAATGCAACCCACAATACTCGCTTTAGATGTAAGTAATTCACGGCACGCGAATAAATCAACCGTGACCAGCCAGCTAGACAAATGTATGTACTGCATGTTAATTCAACTGTATTAACAATGTTAATGTTTTAATACCGAAATGTTAATGCTGAGTCAATAGCTCACATGAGTTTTGGGAATGTCAAATGTGAAAGTGCCCATAATATATTTTGTGTTCGTTTGGCCGTATGTATTCATACATTATACACCGGCGCATTTTTTGTGAAAGTTTAATGCTGAGAATTTTTCAGCTGGTGTGGAATCTTGTAGGCTACAATGGGCTGGGTCGGCTGGGTCTATATGTGTGTTGGGGGTGGCAAGGAAGGAATACAAAATCTGGGGGGGGAGGGGGCAGTTGGAAAATGTAGGAAATGGGAGAATTTCATTAAAACGAATTTTAGAAAAGTATGTTGAGGTTGACAGGTGGATGGAACCGGCTCAGGAATGTGTCCAGTGAGGGACTTCAGCATTAGCAGTGTTGAACATCTGGTTTCTGCTATCAGAAGTCAATTTACTAGACAGGCGGGAAAAATATTATTTGTGTGCTATAAATCCAAACAAATCTTTCAGTTTCCTTAGACTGCTACGTATTTTTAAAAAATTGTTCAAAATTAAGATTTCGTTCTGCACCGTGGGACGACTTGCTGGAAGAATACGACGTTCCGCTGACTCTGGAGTCGACAGCAGCTAGCCACTCTGACAACAATGAGGAACAGTCTGATTCAAGCAGTGAAATCTACGAAGACGTATCTCCACACGTCAATTTACTTCCATGACCGCCACCACCTACACACTATAGGCCATTGGCGGTACCAGCGTTAGTGCAACCTAAAATAGCGGATCAGTTTTTTCAGCAAACAGTATCTGAAGGAGTATATTTACCACCACCACGGAACGCCCCAAACGTCTTTCAGATCACAAAGCCTACACCATTATTGGATGAAGCAGTAGCCGACTTGGTGAAATCAGGAATTTTGCAACCTAATAATGCAATTACTTCGGCTTTTAGGCTATTTTTAATAGCCAAAGCAGATCATTCCACGCGACCCATACTGGACTTATTACCGTGGACTCCATATTATAACAAGCCAGCCATCACCCTGTATTCAGCAGCGCAACTATTGGCAACAATTCCACCCACGGCCGAGTTAATTGAGCTTGATTTATCCAGCGGGTTCTTTCATTTCCAAATTTCACAATCAACTTGTCACAACTATGGGGTATATTATAGGGGCCGACGCTACACATGGTCCAGACTCCCAATGGGGCATCCATTGGCTCCCTATGTCATGCAAAGAATAAGCATGGCAGTGGCACATCATTTACACCGCCAATATGGGGTCATCATGGTAGCCTATCTGGATGATTGGCTGATTTTTGCTGATCATCATCTGCCGGCCACTGATATTCTTCATGAATTACAAGAAATAGGATTCACCATTAATTATGCCAAATCTGTAGTGGTACCCACATCAGCTTTGACGTATCTGGGCCTCCATATTGATGCCCGCCATGATACCATTCAACCAATGGACAAGTGCATAGCGCACATGCGGCACCTCATGCCATTGGTTCCATGAGCTACACATCAAGACTTGACTCGAATAGCAGGATATGTATCCTGGCTAACCTGGGCTATGGGTTGGCCACAATTCTTAGCCCAGCTTCTTCTGCAGTGCAACACACAGTGGCTTCAACAAATGCACCGGACAGGCATCCTGGCCACGCCTAGACGTCTACGGTCACCTTTACAGTCCAGACAGCTGTACACAGATGCCACCCCAACATCACTAGCAGCATTGTCCATAGGCCCACCGCGACAGCAGCTAGTGCGGCACTACACTGACGTCAAGCCCATAGCATGGGCTGAAATGGCAGCGGCCCTTATGGGCCTCTTGTGGTTCACCACGGATTGTGCAACGGGCCCAACTACAATCACTTTGCATGTGGATTCTTCCATAGTGTACCATACGCTTGTAAAGGGGACCGGAATCATACTCCGGTCCTCTCCATTACTACAACAGTTGTATATGCAATGGTTGGTTATTACAAATAAATGTACATAGATAAAATTTTATTTTCAACACACTGTCATGAACAGTATATTAGTATCAGGTGAAACAGTTACTCAAGGAACAGTTTTTTTTTCTAAGTTAGAAACTGATTTAATTTAAGAAACACTATGAATTTTAGCATGGTATAAAGTTAACGGAAGATGGACTGATTGGATAAGCAATAGTCTTCTAGAGCTCTGGACTCTGCCAATTTTTACAGTTATTACACAGAGCAAGTTGCCTCCAGCAGTAATGCTTCTGACTTGTATTTGTGAGATTCCTCTGCCAGGAGACTTACAGTGAGGTTTTTGTTTTCCTTGATCTCTTCTGGTAAATGTCTGAATACTGCCTTCAGTTAAGCCACAACTTCTTCCTTCCACTTAGTTTCCAAATTCACTGATCACTAATCATCCTACCATTCAGTTCCATATGTTCAAGAGTTCCTAATTACATCACTGAATGGATCACAAATAAATAGATGTTTAGTGATGAGTACAGTCTTTGAGGTTGTGATGCTGTGTAGTTTGAAGATACATACCAATGTTTTGAAGGAACCTACTATTAAACTACATGGCATCATGTCCCAGAAGACAGTAGCCTTTATGGTCACTGCTGTGAGGAACTCAGACTTCATGAAAGTACAGTGGGTTATAATGAAGATATGTCCAAGACTTGATGTTATTTAACTAAGTTCATGGCTAGAGTCCACAAGCGAACTATACTGACTGACCGACCGCTCCTTGTCAGCAGTTAGTGACAACTTTAGTGGACAGAGGGTGTTGCGTGGTCAGTACAACAAATCCCCACAACCGTTAATTTTGGTTTTCTAGACCGGAACATTCAATGACACAATAATTTATTATATCAATTGGATAATGTACTCAGAATTAACTGATCTCATTTCAAGCATCTGTGACACTAAAAACGTTATTTTAGTTACTGTTTCCACAGATAATAAATACAACTTTTATACAATAAATACGATATATTCAAAATATGTGTTGTAGGTTGTATACTTTGTAATACCATGTATATTTGCTGTATATTTAACTGACAGTCAACAGTAACTGACTATCATTTCCAAGATGTAGTCAGCTGCTCTTCTAAACAGCAACACCGCATCTCAGAGACACTTTGAAGTTTATGCCTAAACTATTTTGTCCTGATATCAAGATGCATTTTATTCTGACAGAAGATCTAAAATTATAGTATCTTCTGCAATTGTGCAATTGTACTGAAAAAGGTGGGACTCGCTGACATTTAGACCTACATGCAAGGAAAGGCAAGGTGCCATTTTAAGAAGTCTTCAAAGGGTTAAGGGTTATTCTGTGTAACTGTGTCTTGTTCATCTTCTCTGGATGGGTACAACATATCATATAACATCTGCTGCACTCTGAGCTTGAATGCACCCTTGTCTCTTTGGTTCAATAACTTGACATCTGGGACAATACTTCTGAAGAACATCTCATCAGGATCTACACCTATTAACTGATCATATGGTTGTACTGCTGGTGTACTGGGCATTTTATGTGAAGACTGGATCAGTTTTAAAAATTCATCTACATTTTCAGTTCTACAATTTGAGTGACCGTTTGTTCTCTCTGATTTTATATCTTTCTTATGCCTTGTGTTAAGCTGTGATAAATGCACCGGATCCTCCAGCTTTATACGTTTCACACTTGGGTTCTTCATTCTGTGATCTTCCACTGGTTCAGATTCAGCACCACTCTCATCATACAGGTACTCTGCTACCCCATCTTCAGGATTAATAACACCTTCTTCCAATTCATAATCTTCAGAATAGTTACTTAATGTCATTAAATGGTTATCATGTGTTCCATATGCTTTGTGATCAGTGATTGTTATGACACTATCAGCATCATCAATGTCTACATCAGGTCCATATCGTGGTTGTATTCTGTAAAAGTGACAAATAACAATGTTACTACTTACATCTGCGGTTCTCAAACAAGTACTCAAACAGATACAACCTGAAATTTAACACGTTATATGTTTTCTTGTGTAGCCAAATGGAAGGCTAATGGATGTTTATGGATGTTTCAAATCCTCACCCCCAACTCTTCTTCTCAGTTAAAGGAGTATAGAAGGAATAACATTCAAATTCAGACATTAAATTTCTAGCTGCTATATTTAATTTTAATACTGAAAAGCAACCATATCCCAGGAAAAGAATGGACATTCCATCTGGTGCTTAATAATACCAGAAACATAAGTAATTTTAATTTATGTTACTTTTTCAATATAACTTTTAATGAGATACAGGTAAGGTAAAGTTGTCCTTGTGCTTAACTAATTAAGCACTACATCATGAAGATTGGGAAGTAGATGTATAGATCCACATTTTCTTGAATTCAGCACTGGCTGGAGCTGAGTGGTCAGCTTCATGACTGGCTGCTTTACCCCTGGGGAAAGAGCCCACAGTACCCATTGGATAGGAAATTGGGTGGGCCCCAGTCTGGATGACGTGAAGTGAAAATTCTTGACCTTACTGGGACTTAAGCTTCAACCCCTCAGTCATCCAGTCCGTAGCCAGTCGCCATACAGAGTATGCTAACTCAGCTCCCTTTAATGTGATTTTATACAGCAAAATCTACAGTTAGCTATGAACAGGTTCTCACATATACTTCTGTATCCTATCAAAAACTGAAGCACTAAAATGAAACTATAATTTTATCTTTGTTTTATTTGGGTGTGCAACATGGTCTTTCACTCTAAGGGAAGAATACAAACTGATTGCTTTTAAACCACAGTGGTGAGGGGAATATATGGACCTAAAGAACGTGACATGAGGAAAAAATAGCCTAGGAATGTAACACATTAAAGAAATAACAAATGCTTCCAAAATTTTGATCAGGAAATTCCAAGGAAAGAGTCTGGGATACAAAGGAATAGGTGGAAGGATAATATCAAACCAGTCTTGGCGAAGCAGGAAGAAAGAGTGGAAATTTCCAGTGGACTGTGTCTCATACAACATGAATAACAAAATACAAAATTAGTTTATTTTGCAGGATACAAGAAAAAAACCGTGTTCTAATAATCAATGTGCAGTCTTGTCTCATTAGCACAAAGTGTATGGGGCTTATTATTTTAAAGAATCTTACGTTTTTATGTGTGGTATCAGAAAGGTCATCATGTTAGCCCAAGGCCACTTGATCTTTTTCTTCTTATTTGAGTTTGCTTGTTGATTTACAATTCGTCTATAAATACACCTCAGACTAGTCCATTTTTCCCTGCACGCTGTTGCTGAAAAGAATTAAAACAGATTATTCCATTCTGAACAATGATAAAGGTTTTAGTATAGACCCAACATTTCTACACGTTTGTTTTTACAGCTTGAAGATGCATGTCCAACATGCAACTTTGGCTCTCGAGGTTCAGCCATGTCATATGTTGAAGCTATTCCAATAATTTGGCATACACTGCAGTTGCCATCTTCAGGTTGAATGAGATTAAAGGATTGTCTCCCTCAGTCAATAAAAATGTTAGTTAATGAGGAGAAAAGTTTTAAATCAGCACTAAAGAGGTTTTTGTATCATCGTTCCTTTTATTCTATGAATGAATATTATCAACATGCAAATTGTATTATGGGTTGTAATTTAATCAATTTTAACTTGAACAATTTCCACTTTTGTGTGGTTTGATTACCACTATGTATAATTTCGTTTTATGACTGCTCTATATGTGACTGAGTTCTATTTTATGAACTGTTCTTGTGTATGTTGTGTATATTGAAATCGTGTGAAATGCATATGTTATGGTGTTGCATAAGCTTTTATGGGTTGTAGTTTAATCGATTTTAACTTGAACAATTTTCACTTTTTGTGTTTTTGTTCTGTATGCAACTGAGTTCTATTTTATGAACTGTTCTTGTTGTATGTTTTGATTTCATTGTGACTTGTTCAACATCCTAGGCTTCACCAAAAAGGATTTATTGAATTAAAGAATAAATGAAATAAAATGAAATGAAACAGACTGACATATAGTTTTCAGACTGGGAATTGGGGGAGGGGTGTGGAGCACAGTGCTATCTAATGGGATTTCTTTTCTTCTAACCATTCTTTCTAACCACATGGCCCCTTCCCATTGGATAGCATCACATTTCACACACATCATTACTCCAATTCCAGGATTTATATGTTAGTCCACTTCTTCCTTCTGCTCCACTCACTCTGAAGACAGAGACTGCGATGCATACTGAAATGTTGCAACACCTTCAACATATGAAGTTAGACGCAAGAAGCTGATGTTACACTTACAAGTGCTATCATTCCGACACATCAGTGTATGTAATGAAGCACAAGGTATGTACAGATGCGGTGACAGCAGTCTTGAAAATTCAAAGAGGAAGCTGCAATGTATGAAAAGTTACTTTATTCTAGTGAGTTTAAGTTTCAGTACCTCGGAATAAGAACTCAGTAGACAGTACATTCATATGCACTACACTGTTTATGCTTCTTACATACAGAGTTTATGATATGTTAGGTTAGATTAGGTTAGGCTAGTCTATTTTCTGTTATCACTGGTGGGTCTGCCTCAGTTTCACTGAATAGCCTATCCAGTATTCTGCCAGGTGCAACATTTGTTGACATACTGATTCTCTTAACGCTACAATTTCGAAATAATTAATGTTTAAATCCATATACATTTAGGTTAGGTCTTGTAGTCACAATAACGCAAAACCATATCAATACTTCGTCACCCATTGCGTCAAACAGCATGTAATGTATGTGTCACAATCCCACTAATTTCACTTCCAGCCAGTCTCCAAATAAGTGGGCGATAAAGTGCAAAAGTTCTTATAAACATTTGCATCGAATTGGATAAATGGGAATTTTCAAGTAATACTCGTTCAATTAACTTCACAAAATTACATCATAAGACACTTTTAAATGGATTCAGTAGTCACATGAAAATAAATTCTATCATACAATTATTGTGGTACATTGTTCGATGCTGTCTTATAAAACGAACTCGTGGGATGTCTTAGCTAGAGATTTAAATGCCGTCTGAAGTTTAAGACCGATGGAACAGTACGTACGTGATTTATTGAGCTGTTTTGCAATATCAGTCCACAACGCCCATACGATATCTCTGTTGGTGTAATCTTCATTTGCTATATCGTACAAAGCTTCCCGTTCTTGAATCAAAGTTAATAAAAGTTTAATTTCACTTGCGGTCCAAGACACCATTTTTACTTCTCCCGTTTATCTTGATTTATATAACGCTCTACTTCTCCCATGACAATACTACCCATCCTACCCATGCTACCAATCCTACCAATCATGTAAACAATTGCGCTGGTTTCATCGCGTCTCGTCTCATTTCTTCAGCGAGGATGTAGTGTCATCTAGTGGGGTTTCTTGAAACGTCTGTACGAGGTCAATACCTTCTCTTGCACATATTCGTTATGATCTCTATTTATACGATGCATATTATTTTGTACATCTTTCTTTTGTGGATTATTTTACGACGTTAATAGTATCTAGACTATATAGCGTCGAATAATAGATAGAATAATAAATGCTGAACTGGGAAGGAGCTGGAGGCATCCATGGCCTAACCGAGGTATAACTTGGACCGACAGAAAATCACGAAACACCACGGTCAGGTTCCAGGTTGGTCAGGTTGGTCAGGGTAGCGGTGTCCCTCCCCAGACTCGAACCGATCAGCTACCGAATGCGAGTCTAGAACGTCTAGAATGTTACCGCTATTCCAACTCACTTCGTGCCCTTGAGTGTCGTGATTATTGAAAAAGAAATCTGCTAAAATTGTGGCTACACTGCAGTTTTATGAACCGTTTATGTTATAGTACATCATGCCGGAATCTAGTTTAAACGCGTCTCCTTGCCTTAATCACTATAAAAGATGAAAAGTTTACGTATTCCTTGCCCTCATGACCCAAGTACTCTTCTTATGGAGAACCTAATGGGGAAATAGTTGGCTTGAACTCAATCCCTTGCACATAGCAGAAAAATTGACGCACTCCTCAGGGTTCTCTCTCAAACGTGAACACCTTTTGTATTTACCAATTTTTTTCCTACAACTCGCCTGTTTTGGAGGAGCAAGGTGGGAATGCTTGACAGACGGATATGTGTGTGTATGTAAGAAGACACACACACACACACACACATAAAAACGTAAGTGTGCTGAATAAGTGCGCAAGCACAGGTTGTAGGTACCACCGCCTGCTTTGACATAAAAAAACTCCTTTATTTTGCTTAATGTATTAATGAATTTATTATCATTTTCACAACAAATGGTGATCATTTCCTGCGTAGTGTTAATTGATTTGTATTTGTAGTAGATATGCAATGTCTTTTGTGAGGTCAAAACTGAATTTTCAGGTATTATTTGAATGGACTTTAGGACCCGCAGGCTTAATGAAGCTGGAAATGTGCAATTTCACAACTACAAAATAGCCACGGAAAGAAGGCCCATGGATTGTGGGTATGATAAAGCTCAAAGCTTCCTACTCTCTGTCTATCATATTCCCATCCAGGCCTTGCTGACCTGCATCAGAGAGACCCCAGCTATGACAGCTACTGCCACTAGAGAGATTTATCATTGGATAGAAATACATGCTAACAGAACGACTAAACGACTGGAGGAAAATCTCAGGAAATATGCAGGAGGGTACGCGAAACAGTTTGAGGGGATGTGGAGAGGGTCGAATCCATGGGTCTTCATCCGGTGACTCCAGTATAGTAATTTTATGTTCAGCGACTAAATTACTTTTTTATTTTACATGGCATTTAATGGTGCAATTGGAAGCGGGACGAGAAAGAGTTCGGGTTCTGGCCTCATATGCTGTATCCCTCCGAAATATGGAGATGGCGTCCCACATATTTGGAAAAAAGATATGTTTGCATATTACTCCATGTGCCCGCATATCATTTACAATTCGGAATATTCAGTTTGTGTGATTATGAACTCCCTTCAATCTTAATACCATAGTGCCAGTTCGGGAAATAATTGTTTATAATATGTTGTGTGGACAGAGTGAAGAGTTTCATAATTTTAAAGCAGGTAGCAAAAATAGTAACCACACAGCATTAAAGGGTGATTATCCTCTGCTGATACAGCATTTATTTGCAACAGTCAGAGCACACCCATTGTGTATAATAAGACATTTGTAGTAGAAAATGTTAATGTTACAGAGATGACCAATAACTGAGGCACGACAAATAAGACAATCTGTATCAGTTCGTCATGGTGGTGATGTACAACTTCGTCTTCTGGTTCTCCACGAGGTTCGGTTCTGTAGTAGTGGCCATATTTACACTAGTGAGTATTATTAAAACTAGACTACAGAAATGCATGCAATTATATCCTTTAGCTCAATACGTATTGATAATTATCAATACTGAAATAATACAATACAATACTGAAAAGGTTACAATTATAGTTGTGATCATTTCAGTTAATTAAAAATATCCCATAAATACATATGTAGCTATGTCTTTTTTAGAACTCGACATGATTAAATTTTAAGGATCATTTATAAAAATTATATTAGTAAAACTTTTAATGTTTTGATCACCAATTTGAATATCACTTTTCACAGATCCAGTCTATGATGTGTCTCATAGCCAGTATCATAGGCATGGAGAATCAGGAGGCAATACAAAACCAACTGGACCTCTGGCTCAGAACTTATAACATGCTATTCATGAAAGATGCATTAGATGATATGAAGAGAGGTAAGTCTATGGTTCTCATATTTTATGCAGCATTTTGAACAATGCTGCTATTCCCCTTCAGTGTGTCTAAAGGTGTATTTAGCAGAGAAACAAAAATAAATTGTATATTAGTTAGATAGAGCATGGCACAGGCAGTTAGCTCAGAGGTACAGAGCAAGAAATCTGTTCCACATATGCAGCTCATAGGTACAGAGCAAGTAATCTGTCCCACATATGCAGCAGCTTCAATTGGTGCAAATGCAATGAAAGTTGTAAGATCCACCAGTTACTTTTGCAATATCTGTTTGNTATACAATATTAAATATAACATATAAAATTTAAGATATAACATATTAAAATATATATAATGTAAATAGAGCCTCATGCAAAGAGCACAAGTTGTCAGTCCAAGTTGCATGTAACACATCAATAACTACTGATTGGATTTTCATGAAATCTGATATTTGGGAGTTGTCCTAAAATCTGTCTCATTTTCCAGTTTTGGTTAAACTGGACAATAATAGTGGCCAATTTTCTTGAAGACCAACGTACAGTTTTTTTTGCACATCTCAAGCATAACTGACTAAATACTGGAGCAAATAATGCATAAGTTGTAGAGAAAATGAAACTTTTTATGCCAAATACACTTCTTCTATAGTCTTACAGTGTTTGAGACAATTAAGCAACAATGGAGAGGATATAGTACATAAAATTACTAATGGCACTTTTGATGTTTGTTAAGCCAACTTAGAAATTTCATTTCATTTCATTTTTATTTGGCATTCATAATTGCTACAACAGTAACACTCAAACAAGTCACATCATTAAATACATCATTCTTGATATCCTTTTGCCCAAATGCCTAAAGGATTAGAATTTGTCAACATTTAGTATAATCGCGCTTGACATGGTTAACCTATAATTAAAATATAACAAACACTCTCAAACCAGATAAATAATCAAATTAGGTACAATATGTAAATTGAAATGCAAGCCAACCTTATGAGTTCATCAGAGAATTTTAAGAGTAATTACAGTAAATCAAGAGTCCTACTTATGACCATGTCAGTCACCAAACACAGTAAGATACTGCAAGCAACCATTTGTTATCTATTTCCATTGCTGAATAGAGGTTTTGCTATGCTTACTACGGTCTCTCCAAGAGGAATTCATACAGTATATAGAATGGATGATCTAGTAAAAATACTTTTAGCCCATGTTTAAAGTCTTTAGAGCCATGTGATTTTCTTAATTCCAAAGCCAGTCTATTATACAATTTAATACCCAAATATGAATAATGAATTGAAAATTAGTGGAAGCCCTCATCTTGAATTTGAGCTAAATGTATGGAAGTTTTTATGGGATCATGGAAAGCCTGTTTGTGGCCTTACTAATTGTGGCTCTGTTACTAATACTATACCAGAAAATTGGAACTGCCCAGCAAATTTTAGTGCAAATTTCACGAATTGAATTTCAACAAAATCTGTGACATGATTTATGAAATAAAGAGAAAACTCCATTTATGGTTGTATGTAAACTACTAAATATTTAAACATTTAAATGAACTTCAGGATTCAGAGGGTTAAAAGGCAGATACATTGTTACCTTCCTGGCAAAATAGAAAAAATGTAAATATATTAACTTATATTTTGCTTCTTTATTTTCAGGACCTGAGATCTATTTAATTGGTTTCATCACATATCTCTCTTTACATTCTTTTTCCTGTTTTCTCCTGTTATATGGTGCACTGAAAGTAAGTTTTTCATTGTACATTACAGTATGGTCATGCAAATTGAGCTGAACAGATATTGATTGCTCACATTATCGAAAGTGTATGTAAATTATTATGTAGGTTGTATATAGTTTTCTTTTTCCTCTGTGGCTACTATTTTATACCTAATAAACACCAGAAACCAATTTAGGAAAAATATTTCTTCAGCTTCTCCCATGTTTGTTCTCCCCTCTATGTAACATATTTTCTCATCTGTTGTTTCCATTTTGATCTTGTTTGCTACTCGGGTATTTATTTTTAATCTTTCCAGAGTTACTCCTCAATTTCCTCTGATGTTTTTCCTTCCATGTAATATCTTTCCTATCCTATAGCTCATGTCTACAACCTCATATTCCTCTTGGGCATCTTTCTTATCAGTTGTCGTTCTTAGAATGTGCCGGTACCATATTATTTATCTTTAATATCTGAATCCTGTCATGTCATGATTTTTAGTATTCTGGCCATCAACCCAACAATAAAAATATTATTTGTTATTTAGTAACTGATACATGTTTTGGTCCACATTTAGGACCAATTTCAGGCAGTTTCATCAAATACATCTTATTTTATTGTCTTAAAATTTAAGTCCTTTTATCTTTAAATTCTCCATTTTTTTCATTTTTATTTTTCCCATAAGAGCTCATACTCATTCAGTACAGAGATTAGGCTATATGCTGAACAACCAAGGAATCAGACTTTAATTCTTGGGAGGGCCTGAGATTTCTTCTCTTCTCCACCACATTAAAACCTGCTTTGGGGCCCACTCAGCCTCCTATCTAATGAAGGCTAGATGTGAAGTGGCCAGGAAATGAAGCTGACCCTGCATCTCCATGTAATGATAAGGTCAAGAATGTGTTTTGCTGTACATTCATTCTTCCTTAATATTCATGGCAGTGTACTTAATTAAGAAAGGAACAACTTATCTTCACCTTTACCCTTTTATACATCTTAAAGATCTCATCTGAGCAAAATGCAAAACATAATACATCCTTCCTAAAATCAGTTCTGCTATTTTTGTAATTAGGAGTTTATCTTATTTTATGAATTTAAGAACCCTGCAAATGGTGTATTTTTCTTACTTTCATTCTATCATTAAGTATGGACTAGTCCTCTGAGGCAATTCAACTAATAATTCTAGAGTTTTTAAATTACAAAAGAACATAATAAGAATCATATAGAGAGTGGGACCCAGAGACTCATGTTGAAGTCTTTTTAAGAAATTAGGTATTTTACCATTGTCATGTGAATATATTTTAATTTGATGTTGTTTGGGATAGATAATCAAAATAATTTCTGTTCAGGTTCAGAGGTTCATGGCCTGAACATTAGAAGGAAAAACCAAATTTATATTCCAACTTCAAATCTTTCTGTTTTCCAGAAGGGCACTATGTTTACTGCTATTAGGTTATTTAATAGATTGCCAAAGACCATTCAAAGTCTTAGAAAGGATAGAATCAGTTTTAAAAATAATTTATATTCATACCTCATGAATAACTCATTTTAATACAGTTGTTGAAATTTTGGAGCATACAGTAAATAATTAGTTACAGTGTTTGTTTAGCTTTGTATTGTCTTTCTGTTTTGTTTGCTTGTGTTATGCTGGTGACCAGTATCATGTCCATTGTACATTTTGGACTTGTGAAACATGAAATATATGTATTNTCCCACCAATATCCTATACGCATTCCTCGTCTCCCCCATTCGTGCTACATGCCCTGCCCACCTCATCCTCCTTGACTTCATCATTCTAATTATACTTGGAGAAGAGTATAAGTTATGAAGCTCCTCATTATGCAGTTTTCTCCAACCTCCTGTCACGTCATCTCTCTTTGGTTCAAATATTCTCCTCAACACCCTGTTCTCAAACACCCTCAGTCTATGTTCCTTCCTTAATGTTAGAGACCAAGTTTCACAACCATACAGGACCATAGGCAAAATTATAGTTTTGTATATTATAATTTTTATATTTTTGGACAACAGACGAGAAGACAAAAGGTTCTGGACTGAATGGTAGCAAGCATTACCCGAGTTCACTCACCTCTTAATTTCCTCATGAATCAGGTTTTGATCTGTTATCATTGTTCCCAAATATCTGAATTGTGCCACATTTTCAAAACATCTGTTTCCTATCTTTATGTCACGATTTTGCCCTGCGTTTTGGTGATGAGACAGTAACATGTACTTAGTTTTCTCTGTATTTAGTTCTAGACCAACCTCTTTACTTGCGTCAATTAAAGTTTGTGTGTTTTCTCTCTATAGCCTCACTGCTCTCTTCTACAGTGCTTGTGCATGTGCTTGGGTGTGCATATGTGTGTATTATTGTTTGGGTATAAGAACTCTCAAAGACAGCCTACCAGTACTGTATAGAATTATACATACGATTATTATGAGGCTAATGATTTTTATATTGATATTGATTATATTCATTCTAACATTCAGATATCAGTGTGGTTCGTGTACCCATTTCTTATGCTGGAAATTGCTCGGCTAATCTTCTTGACTGTTGGCTTTGTTATTACCATGTTATTGGTAGAAGAGAACATCCTGAACCTTGGGGTCCTCATTGGCAGCTGCTCTGGAGGAGGATTTGTCCTATGTAAGTTCTAGTAATCCTGTCATCCAGTGTTTAGTGTGACATGATCATTTTACAGTTGTTTCTCTATGTTAATGTGATTTATTTATTATGATGAAAATATTACTTCTAGCTTGATAAGGCTTATTTTGGTGATATACTTTTTTACTTGATTTTATGTTATTATTAGTAGTGTAGTTTACGTGTGTGCTGTGTCGTTTGTACAAACGTAAACGTATTGGTGGGAAAGCCAGAAGAAAGGAGACCACTGGGAAGACCAAGGTGTGGGTGAGTGGACAATAATAGAATGAATCTTAGAGAGACAGGAGTGGATGTTATAGATTGGATTGATCTGGCTCAGGACAGGGACCAGCAAAGGGCTCTTGTGAATACGGTAATGAACTTTCGTGTTCCATAAAATGCTGGGAAATTCTTGAGTAGCTGCAGAATTGGCGGCTCCTCCAAAAGGGCTCAGCTCCACGAGTAAGTAAGTAAGTAAGTAAGTAAAGTGTTATGATATGAAATGTTCTGATCCTGCAGAACCTATTCACAAACCTCCAGTAGAAAAACAGTGACTGTGCCTACATAACTGACAAGCAGTACATACCATGTTATTTGTTTACAGTATTTTTGTTCTACCTGTGGTTCTGCACCCTGAGCTTCATTCAGATTGTGAAGGAACTTGAATATAAAATGGGTCACTGTGAAGAAGAAAACATGAACTTAAAGGAGTACCAGGGAATAAATGTACTTCAGCCTGGGACAGACTATTATTTAAAGGGTGGAGGCTTTGCTCCACTTTCAGACTACAACCATCGCTACAATGAGAAATCCATCAGTGAGAATCTCAACATCAGACATAATGTAGGGAGTTATTACAGTAATGTAATGGCCAAACCTGTGTATTAAAATAAGTCCTGGCATGTTTCATTAAAGTGTCAGGGTACTTCAAATGAAAACAACTATTCTGTTATAAAAATCCTGTATTGATTCATAGTACAAGTAACTCATATAGTTTTTCAATACTGTCACTTTCTTCTTCAATGCATATTTTCCAAAGATTCATGATGCACATATTTAAATACAGTTTTCTTGGCCCTTTTCCTACTTTTTTTCCCCCACACACTTCACTCTCCCATAACTACAAAAGTTGATTCCACTGAGCAACCAAAGAGATGTTCTTTCTCAGTGTAAAGCCTGGTGAAGACATGTGGAACAATTTCTGTGCACAATTCTTTGAATGTTGCAGTAGTCACCCTACAGGTATGCAGACATGCATTATAAAGCTGCAAACAGGTGCCCATGCACCACATTCCATATCATTTCACTTAATGGGCTGGCTTTAGATTCTAATTCAGAAACTTACAATATATTTCACTTCTTACTGTGGGTACCTTTCTTCAGGAACTCTTGTCATTATGATGTTCCTGTCCCAGAAAGTAGTCAACATGACATTTCCATATATAAGATATGAATTTTTCATGATGGTGAATGTGGGAATTATGGTCTTCTGGGATATGAAGCAGTGTAGTTTAGTAGACAGCTGTCAAAGTTTAGAGGAGTCTGCTGGCCCCATCTTAGAGAATCTGTAGGCCATCATATTGGAGAAAGCCACAATCTTACTTATTACAATACCAGAGGTTTCATCATGAAACAAATAGAAATTATGAAGGTTTCTATTGTCTTATTTCTCTTCTGAAGTACATAATATTAAAGAGTTTCCTATTCAATGAACAATCACTTACAGGACAGCGATAACCACAAGTTCACACATTAGCAGTCAATAACCCAACAATTCAGTTACAAAGTTAATTTCAATTCACAGATTTTAAATATAAATTATTTTCTTACTGACCTTTGACATACTGATACAGTGAAAACTCTATGTTGGAACACATTTTTAAAATATTATTTCCATCATTAGGTGTTCACTTGAAATTATTCTGAATATAGTACTCACTGATAAACATAATGACAATACTAACACATTATCACATAACTTGAATAACAGGACAACAGAAAAGTTACAATGCACTATCTGGAAGCAAAGTGTGGTAATAAAGACAAATCTATAGCCATTGTTCATCTGTTAGATATTAGTTATATCTTTACCTAGTACAGACCTATGTGCAATGTAACTGTTCTGTGGCCCTGTTATTCAATGTATGTGATAATGACAATACTAACAGATTATTATTATTATTGGAGGGGGGGTGAGTTTCCCCATGCACCACAACTAATAGTCTATTGTACGTCCCCCTTTGATATTCTACCAGTCGCCATGCCCTTCCAGTACTGGTGCTCGCTATCAGCCCCATCCTGCCAGCGAGGTCGGCCACCTCTCTGGCAGTGGTCCCCGATACTTCCCCATCTACCGGAGGAATTGGAAACTACTTGGGCGGGAAACTTGTTGCCTAATTTTGCTCAGAGGTCTCCTAGAGACATGAGGAGCTTTTACGTGCTGTAAATCTACGACACAGGACACACGGCTTGAAGTCCCTCCCGGAGGACTTGTTCCCTGAATCTTTCCACCCTTAAAAATTCCACGACCTCCACCAGGTTTGAACCCGCATACCTTGAGTCATGAGGTGGGAACGTTACCCCTAGGCTACGGAGGCCACTATACTAACACATTATCACATACCTTGAATAACAGGGCCACAGAAAAGTTACATTGCACTATCTGGAAGCAAAGTGTAGTAATAAAGACATATCTATAGCCATTGTTCATCTGTTAGATATTAGTTATATCTTTACCTAGTACAGACCACACAATACAAAACTTCAGACTAATGCCCTGTAAATTTTAGTTTTTTCAGTTGTGGCACTATTATTCTAGGTATGTGACGCTGTTAGACATGACATCATTCAGATATAGCCACACTGATTTAATTCTTGTGTATTCTAAATACAGACAACTCTTCAAACCAGATGCAATGACAATGCATATCATCAACCTCAATGCAAATCAATACTCATTCAGAAACTGTGTGTCCAGGATAATACAAAACTGTACACTGCATATAAAATACCATTAGTTTTAATGACTCGTTACTTTTGTACATGAACAACAGCTACTTCGTTGATCCATCACGTAAGTCATGCCACCAACGTAACAGTGGTTCCCTCTTCTGCCAAATATATGCATTACCCCAATAACTCCATGCACTGAAAGAAAAGAAATTAAAAAATTTACTGAATGTCAGATTTGAGATTCTCACACTAGTGAATATTAAGATTACAGTTTTCTGGGATGTGACACCATGTCATTTCATAGAGAGGTGCTAATGTTTTGGAGGAAACTGCTGCCCCCACCTTCAGAGTAAGTCAAGCTGAGAAAAGTGGTACAGATATAGAGAGAGGGAGCATTGGGACCATGGCTATGAAAGACCAAATGGGAACCTGTGACCCTGTTCTCAATGGGAAGATATGTAGGGGAGACAAAGGTGGGTAAAACAGGAAAAATAAAATACATATATATAAAAAATAAAAGGAAGAGATCAAGCGAATGAAGCTGAAAAAAAAACACATGCGAAAGGCCATAATCATAGAGTAGAATCAAACAGAAACAATTAAAAGCATAGGAGGAAAGAGGAAAAATAAAATGAAATGAAATAAGGATAAAATCTATATGAGGATGAAGAGGAGTAGAAGGAAGAAAGGATGTCTTAAGAGTTCTGATTATTTAAGCAATTTCAATGATATGCTGATCCTTTAAAATAAGCTATGATGTACCATCACCACAGCTACCTCATCAAAGAATCAGCAATGACGTTTACTGAGGCCATCAAAAGCTACTATAGCTACAGCTCCATTTCATCTGAATATAAGCTGATTTTTCATTCATTCATTCATCAATGGCTCTACAGCCCCTTGTTGGGGCCTGCCCTCTTCTTTCGTTTTGTGATCTTTTTTACACAAATGGTAGGACTTCTTGGACAAGCGACAAGCTGCTTTAGGAACATAAGAATGTAAGAGACACTCTTGACAAGTAAAGGACATAGCTAGTTGGCTTGAGGGATAACACTTCTGATATCCAGCAGGTGTCTTATTTGACTCCTAGCTGGGACACTGATGGTAATGACCAAGGTTTTCATAGTTTTCCTCAGTTCATCCATGGAGATGGTAGGACTTCTTGGACGAGTGACAAGCTGCTTTAGGAACATAAAAATGTAAGAGACACTCGACAAGTAAAGGACACAGCTAGATGGCTTGAGGAATAACACAAAATCCAGAAGGGGTCTTATTTGACTACTGGCTGGGACACTGACGATAATGGCCAAGGTTTTCATGATTTTCCTCAGTTCATCCAGGCAGTATCTCAGTTAAGTCAAGACTGCTTCCTTCCATTCACCCATCATCCCATCATTCAATGCAATATAATCTGAGATGCTGACACTACCATAAAATAAACTGGCATGCCAGTGGGATGCATAATTTTGATAAATCGAATTTGAAATTATGATTGTTAAAATTTGTATCAATACACACAAACTCATACTGCATACAGGTACAAATAACCTTTCTTGAAGCCTATAAGTAGCTGATGTACTTATACTGAGTATAAATGACTGTTATTGGATATTGTGCACTGTTAGAAATTGAGTAACTCCCCCTACAAGCTCAATATATATTGTCGATTTCCCTGTTTGTTATAGTAAATAAGGAATTATTCACATTCAACTCACAAATGCATAATTGTAGTACCAGATTTATCTATGATCTGCATTATCCGCAAACTAGTCTAACACAATTCCAAAAAGGAATATGTTACATGGGGGTAAAGATCTTTAATCATTTGCCACCAAAAATCAAATCTATGTCTAATGACTTGAAAAATATTAAAATTCAGTTGACAACATTTTTATTGCAAAACTCTTTTTATACGTGATGAATTCTTTAGTAACAAATTTGCCTAGAAATAAGGATAACAGCATAAACAATGTTAATATTGCATAATTTTATGTATAGTGATGTAAGCCTGTAAATTTAACACATGTTTTTTATCTATTATAATGATTATAAGCTGTACATATATATTTATAATTGTATTGTATTATATTAACTCTGTGACTGGTTCTATATCTGTGTATATGGATTTATGGAATATACAATAAATGAATGAATGTAATATAAGTGTTTGAAACCCTTTTCACTTCTGAGAAGTGTGACCACAAATTTGACATAGACACAATGTCAGTTATAATTCTAGTTCCAGTTTCTTTTAAAATTAAGTTTTATCATCAAAAATGGAACAAAACCATAACATACTCATATAGCAGATAATAAATCTACTGAAAATGTGGCAAAGTTTAAATATCTGGAATAATTGGATGCTGATGTGAGGATATTAAACTAATGTGTGAGCATGGGGTGGACTGATGTAGCATAGGATTAGGAGTCAAGGGAAGGTATTTTTTGAGTAGCTGAGTAGCTATGAAGTTTTCAAGAACTAATATCCCAAAGCATGGAGTTAGTTAATCCAGTTATATGGATTTATAACTGTTATTTATGAAAGACCTCTTTAGTGTTAAAAAGACGTAAAAAATAATCTTCACAGTGAAGTTTATCACTTGATTATCTCTACCAACATTAGTGTCAACAAGTCGTTAGATGACCAGAGGGGAATACAGGGAAGTATGCTGAAGGGGGAAGAATAATGGTTCAAGGGAGTTACGGAGTAGGTCAGTGCATGGGGCTACTTTATATGCTCGCAGTGTAGATAAAGACATCAATTACAGACAATAGCTTACATTCCAAATGCTGCTCCTCCTAAATGAGCTGCATGGTCAAAAAATCTCCATCCTAAGAGAACACCAGCTGCATCTATTGTCATGATCACTTTAATTGCCTGCAATGATAATATTTTTTATGAATGGCAGACATGTATCTGAAATGATTACATAAAAACATACAATACAGAATTATTTATTATAATATAATTCTGTTGAACACTAGACCATCTCACACATATTTTATATATACAACATTTTGGCAACTGACTGAATTCCTGAATTTAGGTAATCAGTTATAATAATATCAAAATTTCTTTGATATAATCCCTTTTTAGTAGTCACTGGGAAGATTGTAGGACCCTTCACATAGCAATCTATATTCTCACCATTTTCTCAGACTACACAACGTCACAGCCCAGAAGACAAACATCTTCACAATTACCACTGTGAGAACTTCAAATCTCACAAATTGTGTAATGTTTTATCTCTGTACCTTTATAGATAAACCCATAGTCAATGATTTACAACATTTTGAGATATAAAATATATTTGAGTTTTAAGATACAGGATCACATAAGTATGCAAATATATTAAAAATGTTTTGTCTTTTTTACTAAGGCTTCCTCTATGCAAGTTTTGAAGTAGGTGTGGTTGATTGTATTTATAGATGTTTTCTGGTTTTGGGACTACCATAATTGATCAGATAGGCCCCAGGAATTAGAAATAAGGGGGTTTGTTTGGGTGCCAATAAGATTCCGGGTATGGAATGCCTATAAAGGTTGAGCTTGAGTTTGATTGCTTTAGCTCAGGTAAGGCAGGTATTTGACTCTGTCTTAAGGTTATTAACTTGCAGATTTAGTATTTGTGATTACAATGGTACTCTAGCATGTCCCAATTTAAATTGCTGAAAAATGCTAAGCCTCGAGCCCAGCGTTTCTGCAGGAAGTGCCTCTCCTCAATTCCAGAGACTTGAATGAAAGACACCCTCCTCCAGATTCTAATTGGCTGGTCAGAACAAGACAAGAGGGCACAAAATCTTGTGTTCTCCAATAAACTATAGCAAGCAATTATTCATGTAGATTTCAACTGCTGGCTAACACCTCAAATAATTAAATTTAGAAGTTGTGTGGGTCTAGGAATTGCCCTCTTCAAAGTCATGACTCCTGCTAGTGCAGAATTTTGAAAGGAACACCAACTGTGTGCCATATTTCCAATTTACCTGGGCAGCTCTCTGTCTTACAACTGACTGTAAGACTTGGCCTAAGTGAAAGAATCTGACTGACTCACTTGAACTAATTTGGTGATTGATACATTGATTTCATTAATTCCATATAATCTAATTAATTTAATTCAAATTAAAATAATTAAAGATAACAAAAGTATCCACCTCAGTTTTGATGGTTACATTATCACCACCACAAAAGTAGCATATGACTGTCAATGACTGTTAACAAATGATCTGTACTGAAGAACAAAAATTCAGATTACTAAAAAATTAATCTAATATTTAGGCAATTCATCCATTGCAGAGCAGTGTTATTTATAAGAATGATATATTTGTAAACTTACTGCTCCAGCTGGAAATGAAAAGAATGGCAGGAAGATAATGCTAAGTCTGGTATCCGGATATTGAGTACACACATATCCCAACACACCCATGATAGCTCCTGACTGAAACACAAATATATGTAAGAAAGTCAGGATCAGAAAACAATTGAATAATACATAAACTTCTGCAGTCAGTGTGACATTAGTGCTGCTTAATATAGTGGAACCTTCATTTATGATTCGTCAGTTTAAGTTTTCCCTTATTTAAAATTGAATTTCAATAATTCTAAGTCAATGATCTTAATGTTAAATCACTTCCATTTATGACTTTCATCACTTAAGTATTCAAGTCCACTAACCCTATAACAAATATTAAATGAGGACTTCACTGTATATGATTGTGAAATTTTGTGTGAAATGGATCTTAAAAGTACGTATATTTATGTTGAAATAATTCTTTTGTAAAATGAAAAGAAAACAACATGGCAGCCATACAAAATTTATGCTCGGCTTTCCATTTAATGGTGATAACTACCAGTAATTAACCATTGATGTGATTTGCTCTACGGAGATACATCATAAATGTATTCACATATTTCAGAGCAGAAGCCAGAAAATACTGACCCACTTTTTCTGGAGATGAAATATTTGTCTAGCTGTCAGATTTAAATAAAATAAAAAATAAACTTTAGACCCCCTTATTACATTATGGTGATGGTATGAAACTTCCAGGTTACATCTGGCAAATTTAACACAGAATCTAGCAAAGAAGTGGATAAGTAAGTACTAATCTACAGCTGTAGCTAGCCTGGCCATACAGCTGTGTCATGTCTCATAATCTTTGCTGCTGATCCTCTTAGGCTCCAGTACATGGGTGTCATCCTACCAGTTAGGTTTCTGCTTCTTCTTACCTCAATCTTCCTCCATCCTTTTTTCCCTTTCACATGGTATGCTACAACTTAAAAACAGGGTAAATGACATTCACTCTAGTCCCAGGTGTTCAACCATAAAGGAGAGGTACTCAGAATTCCATTTTGGCCTTCTCATTCTGTATTTCCTTTGTCCAAATCTTAAATAATTTACCTTCACTGATACTTCATGTTTTGTGATTTGGAGGCAAGATCCAGCAGGACATGAAAGCTTGTATAATTACCTAAGAAATATTATTTTCTAACTGTATAACTTTCAAATTTTACAGTAAAAATATGTTAAATTTTTCAATTTGCATGCATTAGAAAGGATTCACTTGCATATCTGGAATAAGTGGTAAGCTAGATGGTGTAATGAGCTGCCATCTAGTCTGCATAAAAATACAACTTCTGTATGTGTTTCATTCCCTATTCAGAACTAATAGAGAACACCCAAACATATTATGAAATTTACTCCATACTTTTGCTAATATATACAGCATCCAAGGCTTATAAAGCAATGTGCAAATACTACAGTAAAGTTTTTGAATGCTGCTTTAATCATCATTTTCAGTCTTCTTTTCTTATTTATGTGAGTAAACTTTAATGTCTTAATTTGAGTGTTTTTCATTTTTGAAGTTTTAACTTGTATATTTTGATACTGAGAACAAAACCAATGATACACCAGGTGAAGAATGGGTTACTTCTTCTAGTACAGAATACAGAATTTGAAAGATTACTGTCCTTTGATACTATCATGTCAACATAAGATATTCTCAGAATTTTATGACACCTATCTGTGTCACACAAAAGCAGTATTTATTTTTTAAATATTTTATAAAGGCAGTCTCAGCAATAAGCAAATAAATAAAATAAATGAATGAAGGAGACAGACAACAAATTTATTCTTATACACATATTGTCATTCCAAGGGTGGTGGGTCTAATTTGAATTCATGTACTTCTTTGTTCTGGAATTTAAGCCTAAAACCCTTCACATGTTCCATAAGGGGAGGGGGGGGGGACTGTAAGATACTTCTGGAATAAAACAGTGCATATACAGCTTACTGCTCCAAGTGATAGTCCAGGTTGTTTTATAACAGCTTTGTGAAGGTAACTAGACATGGTTGATATAACTCCTGCGCTAATGTACAGTCCAAGAAATTGCTCCTTCCCTAGCGATGCTACAGCTCCTATAGGGGAAGAAAAATTCTTATTACTCCTCCACAGTATTATGTTCACCTAAATGGTACTTAAAAATTTTGTTCTTATCTTGCTGATAACATACTGCAACTTCATTAGAAAGACCAATTGGTTAATGCTGCTTAGAAAAATAATCACTGTTTAGTCTCAGAACCACATGAAACCCATAAATAAACATTGTAGGCAAAAAGACATAAGCTCTTTACTATTAAAGCAAGTGGTACATATATCTACTGATCTTCAAGGGTTTAAAAACACTAATCTGGAAAGTTGTGGGAAGTAATGCATTTGTGCTTAGATTTTAACCACAGTGAATTATCCACACAACTATTCCTCTAAGAAAATTCAAAGTATGTTGAATATCAAAATATGGTCTAGTTTTTACAATTTTCAACAGAGCACAAAATCTATTTACTTGAAAGATGGTTTGGGGAAATATTTTCATCCTATAAGTGAACACTGAAAAGAGAACCGTATTGTTTTGAATATAAGATGCACATTTTACACATTCTTTTCCCTTGAAGAATTGAGGTGCATCCTCAATTTGATGAATTTGCACCTTTCTGACTTTCTTCTTAAAACTCACATTTAAAAACTGAATACATCTTAAATTCGAGGGCATTTTATATTTGATGTAATATGGTATGTACAGGTTGACATGAGTTAACTTAGATTAACTGCAATACAAAGGCTTCATAAACATGTTATTTCTCAATGAAAACAGTTTCTGATAAACTAACCTGATGAAAAACTATGCAAAACGAACATATTTGCAAGGAGATGTAGACCTGAATAATGGCTGAAAGTGGAGAGAACCATAGGCCAACAGACAGCTCCTAATAAAAGAGGACCAAAGGTTCATTGTAACTACATAATATATAAGAAAAAAAATATAACTTTATGATGATGATAATTTCTAACAGACTTTGCAATCCATTCCTTTCAGCATTTCATATAATTTTCATTTAGTTCCATTGATCATGCTATTATTTAAACATACTGAACACCTCAAAAAGTTGTAGAAACATTCAGCTTCCTAAAGCATTCACATTTCTTACATTGGCTATTCTGATACTAAGTGATAATATACATAAATATATTATAAACAGGAGTTGGCTTATGACTGACAATGTGTGTCTGTTATGCACTCACAGTGGACACAGTCTCAGAGCATGATGGGTGGCACTGTCAGACTAATCACTCAGGCAAAATAATGGCTCTTTATTCTGAGAATCATACAGAATATATAAGTGGTAAAATGTAGAGTTTCTAAATATTACAGCAAATGGTAAGCACAGTGCTTTGACTGATATTTAACACTACAACTTAAATAACTAACACAATATTTGTATGTTACTCACTAGATGCTGGATTGGAACAGAAATATCGCACCATTGTGCCTTGTAACCGTGGAACACGCCATGCTAGAAAAACTAAACAGTTTGCAAAGCATATTGGGAAAAAAAATCTGTGTCCTTCACTAAGACCATTCCACCAAGTGTTTACATCATTACGCCATGATCCTTGTTTTCTTACACCATACACTCTGTCATGGATCAAACTGCCAGGTTTTCTTATTAATGCTATTGCTCTTGCTCGGACATTCTCATATTGCCATATTGCAGCACAGACGAAACTTCCTGAGCTAATCTGTGAATTACAATAAATGCACATAATGACATGACATGTGAATGATTCCCAGGGTAGTTTATGTCAATTACAGAGCTCATACAATATCAAATAAAAAACGTAAAGATGTCCCTGTGTTTAATTAATGAAGTACTATGCCATGAAGATATATAGATTCATTTCTAATTCTAACAACAAAATGAAAACCACCTGGAACACTATAAAATCAGTCACAGGTAGAAAATTTAATAATGCAGGTCTACAATTTTTGAACACTGATACGAAATTATCTGATAATCATCATATGATTACAGATTCTTTAGATAATTATTTTCTAACAAACGCTAACAAAATCAATACCAATAATGCAAATGTTGGCCACATTACAGAACCTGAAACCAGCAGATATTTAAATTATCTGTCTCAAGCTTTCATGATTACCTTCCCTAAAATTAAATTCAACCACAACTCTACTAAAGAAACTGAAAATATAATTATGACTTTCAAATCAAAAAATTCTAATAGGTATGATAAAATTTAAGTTAAAATTTTAAAAATCAGCATTCCTTTCTATTAGCCCTCCATTAACTTATATTTGTAACATATCTCTTTCAATAGTGAAATGCTACATTTGGAGCATAGCTCTGTATGGGGCTGAAACATGGACACTTAGGGCAGTAGATCAGAAACATCTGGAAAGTTTCGAAATGTGGTGTTGGAGAAGAATGGAGAAGATCAGTTGGACCGATTATGTGAGAAATGAAGAAGTGTTAATTAGAGTCAGTGAGCAGAGGAATATCCTACATGAAATAAGAAAACGGAAGGCTAATTGGATTGGTCATGTTTTACGCAGAAACTGCCTTCTAAAAGAAGCTATCGAAGGAAAGATAGATGGGCGGATAGAAGTGACAAGACGACGAGGAAGAAGACGTAAGAAGATGCTGGATGACCTTGGGGACAGAAGAGGATACTGTCATTTGAAGGAGAAAGCTCTAGATCGCATTAAGTGGAGGAATTGTTTTGAAAGAGACTGTGGACCTGTCGTCTTGACAGATTACTGATGATGATGATGATCTCTTTCAACAGTTGTCTTTGCCAACTGGTTGAAATATTCAGAAATAAAACCATTATTTAAAAATGGAGACAAAACTAATACGAGTAACTACAGACCTATATCATTACTAACATCCTTTTCAAAATTTGTTGAAGGGGTTATACATGCAAGAATGCACCAACATATAATGAGTAACAACATATTAGCAAATGAACAATATGGTTTTAGGAGCAATTCACTTACAGAAACGGCCTCATATAAATTAATTAATAAAATATTAACTGCAATGAATAACAAAATATTAATTGGTAGAAGTTTTTGTGATTTTAAGAAAGCTTTCGACCATGTCAATTACAATATTTTACTATCTAAACTGGAATTTTATGGGATAGTTGGCAAGGCCAATGAATTAGTAAAATCCTACCTCAAAGCTAGATACCAGAGAGCTGTAATTAATAAATGGCATGTTCATTCCAGATGGGACAAAGTTAATAATGGTGTACCCCAGGGACTGGTTCTGGGACCTTTACTGTTTCTTTTATATATAAATAACTTTCCAAACATTATAACTAGTAAATGAAAACCTGTTCTTCTTGCAGATGACACAAGCATAATTATCACAAATTCCAGCCCTTAAGATTATGAAAGAAACATTCAAACATTTAAAAACACAAATGATGGTTTAAAGCTAATTTATTGACATTAAACTTTGATAAAACATATTTTATACAATTTTTGACTAAGAATAGCTATGTAAAGGATATGCATATTGACTATGGTAACAATCAAAATCCTGTGCTTCATTCGAAGTGCAGAATTGCTGAGGGGATAATCAAAAGGGGAAGCACAATAGACCACTGTAGGTTGCGGTGCAAGGGCCGAGAAGCCCTACCCCTCATACATTCATTCATTCATTCATGGTAACAATCAGATTGCTAAATCTACTAATACCAAATTTCTTCCATTAATTATTGACAATATGTTGTAATAGAAAGGTCATGTTGACTGGTTTATGTCTCAATTATGTTCAGCCTGTTATGCAATCAGGGCTGTGAGACCTTATATGTCACAGGAACCAAAAGAATTATTTATTTCTCATATTTTTATTCTGTTATGCCATATTGTATCATTTTGGCTGTAGTGGCTGTTGTAGTGTGAGCTACTAAGGATAGGGCATAATCTGCTGTATTGAGCCTGGACTCACAGAGGCCTTGTATATACTGCATACAAGGTGTGACAATTTAATTCCCAGAATGGCCACAGCATGTCGCTGGGGTGTTGAGTCAGGCAAACTCATGTACCCGAGCATGTTTGGACATATTTCAACTTTTGTTCACATGAGCCACAGACCAAATGGGTCATTCATTCCCAAGCAGCAGAGGAAGCAGTACGTGTCCATGGTATACTGTTAGAAGAAAAATAGGTGACAAGACTCTGAAGCAGCGGATAAACATCAAGTTTTGTGTGAAGATTGGTAAAGTGCTAGTGAAATGTTAGCCCTGTTAACAATGGCTTAGGGTGAATAAACTATGAAGAAATAGAGTGTTTCTGAATGGCATAGGCGGTTGAAGGAAGGGCAAGAAGATGGGCAAGATGACCCAAGTGGGAAGCCAAAAATGCAAAGGACAGATGCAAATGTGGATAGAGTATGAACCTTGGTGCACTCAGATTGAAGATTAGGTGTGAGACTAATAGCAGAAGAATTGAATTTGAATAGGGAAACAGTGCAACAGGTTATTATGGATGATTTGGGAATGGGAAAAATTTCCACAAAGATGGTGCCTCAAATCTTGAGAGATGACCAGAAACAATGTCGGTTTCACATTTCACCTATCTTTACACAATGCAGAGACGTTTGATAGGGTTGTTACCGATGATGAAACATGGTGTTTTCAATATGACCTGGAAGCAAAATGCCAGAGCATGCAGTGGAAAACACAGAATTCACCTCAGCCAAAAAAAGCATGCATGCCTTGCTCACAGTTCAAGACAGTGCTTGTGTGTTTCTTCGATCACAAGGGGATAGTTCACTATGAATTCATTGCGCAATGACAAACACTGAATCATCAGCATTATTTGGAAGTGGTGACAAGGTTACAGGATCTGTTTGGAGGAAAAGACCCAAACTCTGGCCTGACAGGTGAATTTTCCACCATAACTATGTCCCTGCGCATGATGCGTTAAGTGTGCATGAGTTCCTGGCTAAGAAATCCATTACAAAAATGGACCACCCACCTTATTCACATGACTTAGCCCCTTGCAATTTTTGGGTCTTTCCAAAATTAAAAAAATGCCTTGAAGGACAAAGATTTGCTGACATTCCTGACATCCAATGCAATGTGGCAATGTTGCTACAAGGTATTCCAGTAAACAATTTTCAAGACTGTTTCCGGCAGTGGCACCATTGCCTCACAAAGTGCATAGCTTCACAAGGACAGTATTTTGAAGGCGACAGCAGGCACTAGTACACAGGGAAGCAAGTTCTGCATTCACAGGGCCATTCTGGGAATTAAATTGTCGCACCTTGTACACATATGCATTGTTATACTAGGTAATAACATGTAAACTGTAAATATTATGTACATGCAGACAACTGACTTGTTACCTGTCCTCTTGTCAGAGGTTCATCACATGGACAAAACCATAACTGTCTAACAGTAACTAATATCTGGTTATGAGCCCCATGTAAAGACTGACTGATCATAGGTCACAACGTGACTTTGAGTCTGACTTGTATCTTTCATCCTGAGATGGAAATTGCACTGTACATTGAAATGTTGCAACAGCTGCTCATGCAATATGACTAAATCCTGGTGAAGTTATCTAATTTTTCTTCCATGGAACAATCCTTTTTAAGAAGCTAATATTCGCTCAGCTAGTCAAGAAATTCTCCACTATGGAACACAAATGTTCATTACTACATTCACATAAATGAAACACTGAAACCCATCTTGAGTCAATGAATCCAGTCCACATGCTCACACCCTATTCTTTAAGAATCCAGCACTTCCTAAATCACTGTAATCCAAATCATTGACAACCAACTTTTAAAAGTAAGGGGAACTTCGAAAACGATGACATAATAATATCATAAATTCTTTAAAAAAATGACTTACAAGGGCAGTGAAACCAAGCGGTTTCCACAGTTTTGAAAACTGTATTGGGCCACTTTCTACTTTAACTCCTTCAAACTGTGTATCCACTGGGCCAAATTTTCGTTTTGAACGTGAAGACTGGGATGACCAACGAGATTTTCGAAATAATGTAGTTCTGAAACCTCGAACAGCACTGATGGGTACATTGGATAAAATACATTTTTTTCCGTACGGATCTAGAGGACTGAAACAGTAAAAGAAATTATATATGATCATAATGCCAGCAAGTTATAAAACTTTAATGTAATAATGATAAAAAGCTGAAAATTAAGTTCAATTATATTGAATTCTCATGCTCACCACACTTTTGAACATTCACGCATATGTAATAAACTACGGACATGTCCCATGCTTGTTGCCTGATATAGCTGTTCCGTAGGAAGTAATTTATAAAAATAAATTAATGTATATGTAAAATTTTATTAATTTTTTGATCCCTCGTTTGCAGCATACAACTTATTTTCCTTCGTACACAAATTTTATGACAGCAAAGAGACCACACAATGGAAGGCACAAGGCATTCAAACACCAAGAATAAATTGTTTGTCGAGATGACAGTGGAATGACACCAAATTTCGTGCAATATAAGAAGACTGTGTGTTCTTTAAAATGTTTCACAATACCACATAACTCACTTAGACACTCTCTATGAAAATAACCATCCATGACTTTGCATACCTTCTGTCTTTCTGCGCTCTCTGCTATCACAGCTGAGGAATGACGTCATGTTACCATGGAGACCGATGGAGACAGTGTGTATACGTAAACACACTGTAATAACGAGCTTTAATCGCTGGACGAAGAAGTTTGGTACTTACAATAATGGTTAGACAACTAGAAAATCTTCTAAAAGAACTAGGATGGGCAGATGGCTTTCGTATTCCAGTGGCGAATGAGGCAAATAAGGCTCTAGAAGAACAGGTAAGATGAATGAAGTAGCAGAATCCACGACAATTCCCCAATAAACACCGTACATTAGAAAGCCTTGAAAAATAAACTCTCTCACTCTAGAATTCAGGTCATATTTTAGTGCCGAAAACTATAATATTTAATACATGACCCGTTTTATATTACGGGCCATCCCGTATTATTTTCATATGAAACTGGGTAGTGGTCAGCACCTGAGACAGGTCGCACATGCTTCTTTCTTCTCCTCATTTCACCTGCGCGTTTTTAAGTTTGAGGCTAAGATCGAGCGTTTGCCGAGAAAATCAACAAATGTAATCATGGTGTACCATCAACTGTTTGGCTCTGTGGGATGTCGGTTCCAGTACTAGGGTAGACAACCATGTAAATTTCTATAACAAATACTTTTAGAAGAAGAGCATACAGACGATCAGGCAAGCAGAGTGTGCGGTAACCGCTGAGGTATTGTGGGGCCCTGGAAAGGCCGTAGCTGTAAGTCAGGGTGTGACAGATGAATGCCGGTGAAGCTCCGACCACAGGGGGCTGGCTTGTGCTAGTGATGGCACTCTTCCTTGTTTGACCTGTGAGTTGGCCATAGGGTGTAAGTGCTGGTGGTGCACTTCCTAATGAGTCTAGATGACTGTTCTCAGAGTCGATCATTATTTTATTGCATGCAAGACCAGGCCATTGCCAAAATACTCCCAGATATATACAGGAAACACAGATTATTGTTTCTTCTTTTATGGCAATTAATGTAGCTGTTGTAGATGCTGGATTGAGAAGGATGGGGAAGGAAGCAGTTATAGCCTATTTTCAGGTACCAGCTCAGAATTTCCTTGGTGGGAATGTGTAAAACTATAGCCAGAGTATATGCCCCTGGACCAAGAATTAGACTAAGCGGCCTCCGTAGTCTAGAGGTAACGTTCCCACCTCATGACTCGTAGTACGCGGGTTCAAACCCGGCGGAGGTCGTGGAATTTTTAAGGGCGGAAAAATTCAGGGAACAAGTCCTCCGGGAGGGACTTTAAGCCGTGGGTCCCGTGTCGTAGCTTTACGGCACGTAAAGGAACCTCATATCTCCTAAGGTGGTCACTGAGCCAAATTCAAGGACATTTCCCGCCCAACAGTAGTCTCTAACACCTCTGATAGATGGGGGAAGGATTTTATAGGTACTGCCAAGTTAGTGGAGGCCGAACTCACTGGTTTGGTTGGGACTGATGGTACACGCCAATATCGGTAGGATATAGAGACTGGTAGAATATCATAGAGGGAAGCACAATGGACCAATACTGGTCTAAGTGCATGGGGAAAACCCACCCTCTCCAATAACTAACTAAGAATTAGACTCTGGACACTCCACAGATGAAGTGGAAATGTATCAACTGAACCACATGTGACATCTTCTCCTCTCCTCTCCTCTTCATTTCACAAACTGTTGCAAGTAAACATTCATAAGAATTTAGTTCTGTATTGAGTGGTTGATTCCACAGTTAATTGTGCAGTATACAGGTTTACTCATGTGACAGTGTCCACCCTTCCTTTTTTAATGATGGGTTTTCTTTCTTCTTAAATGTTTCAAACGTAAGATTAGTTTTTGAGTTATTTTTTTTTAAATAAACTTCAGTGTTTGCAAAGAAGGTTGCCTCTTTCCTTAAAGACTTCACAAACTAGAAGGTCAAACATTTTCTGTGTTTATGTAACAGTTTATAGTTTGGGAAGCTTACACATAAATACTGATTGTTTGGACAATATTTGCATTCATAGGTTGAGCACAGTATAAAAAAGAAAGGTGAATTAACTATTCAGTTTGAGGATCTGAGTGATCGAGTGGATTCCCTCTTGAAGCATACTCAAAATGTCAAAGTTGAGCATCAGCAGAACCAGGTGCGTATGCAACAAGCTGTTATTCCAGACTTTCATTATAATTAATTTTTCAAAATGAGATAATTTACTGCCATATATTTCAGGATATACTTATTGCACATAAAAGACAAATGGAGACAGAGAAAAACCTGTATCAGACAGCAAAGGCTGAACAAGCTAGTTATGAATGGGAATTACGACTTATCAACAAGGCTTTTCATGAGCTTGGAGAGAGACATTTTATACTGCAGGTATGTTGATAGTCGCAAAATTTGCCAGTCTCATATTTTCTTGTTCATGAATTCAGGAGTGTCAGCTGTCCTCCTTCAGCTTCAGTCCAGTATTTGTGAACTCCTTGTTAATAGTGGATTGTTACTGAAAATGGTTTTATGGTAGTCTGACTTTCACACTGGATGTTCTACATTTTTTCTTTATATGTATTTATATTGTTTCTTAGAATAAAATTGTATACATTTCTATGACACCATCGTTCTTAATGTCTGTGGACAACAATTATAAAATGGTTTTCAGAACTCTGGTTTCTCAGGGATGGATGGGCAAGTGTGGAGGCTTTGGGCCAGTCAAATTAAGAATGTCTCTTGCTGTAATAACAAATTTAGATTATGACTTTTTTTCTTATTTTTTATAATAACTAAATATACAAGCTATTTTTTTTTCTTATTAGGGAAACAAATGTCTCCATAAAACGTGTATATTATGTTTCTGTTTTGTGGATTCCTCTGGGCAACTGCCCAAGTTGTTGCCCCTAAAATCTGGCCCTGTGAATCTTGCTTTTGTACCTCTTTGTTTTGTTGTTGAAACTTAAACTTCACTTCAGTACAGAAAGAGTGAAACTGCTAATACTTATTTGGGTTTCCTCTCTTGGTGTACCTTTTAGGATATACTTAACATTTGCTTATACTGTTTGTACTTTCATCATATTCATGCCACATTTCTTATAATCTGCATGAGACTGTATGTGATTTGAATCAGCATTCACAATCATTTTTTTATTAAATGAACATAGGCACTTTAATTTCATAATTTTAATGTTATTTGTTCTTTAAAGTTGTAATGCTGTACATGTAATATTGACAAGGAAAGAAAAATTGGCTTCCATTATGAATTGGCATTTTTGCTTGTTTAGTTTGTAACATAGGTGACTGGCCTATCAGAGTATCTGCACAATCTAAAGTGCATACTCCTTTGAATTCTTGAACACTGGGATTTAAGTTTGAATCCCACATGGGGCATATTGCATATTGTATGTGTTTGCATTGTCCTGTGTAGGTAGAGAGATACGATGCAATGGGTCAGTCCCCCAATGAAATCCAAAGAGTCCTACTAAAGATCCATGGTTTCAGAAATTAATTCTGAATTGGAATGGCAAAATACTGAATAATATTTGTGATTTTTTTTTGCAGAATGGAATCATTACTCATACTGAGAGACTGGAGAAGCTAAAAGCAAACGTGAAGTGGGACAAAGATGTTTTGTTGTCATGGGAGGAGAATGTGGCAAAAGATAATGAACACACTCAGCTGCTGGCAAGATATGCTGTTGAGGATGAAAGTAAATCAAAGGTGACTGATTTGGTGAAATATATGAAGCATGAACAATATTGTCATCTTTATTCGGTAAAGGAAAAACAAGTAGAGAGGCTGATTGATTGATTGATTAATTGATCGACTGCTGATTAATTGATTGAATGTTGGGTGTCAGCTACAAACGTTATTTAGTGTTGAATACTTTGGTAAGGATTTTGAAGAAAGTGGTCATGGGCTATTTCAAGGTAGTTCCCAAATTTCACCTTGGAACATGGAAGAAAGCCTGAAGAAGCCTCAGACATGATAGCCATGAACCTGGCCAAGTTTCAAACTCTGTATTTCCCAAATGAGATCTAATGCATTATTAATGTGTAATCTGTATGGAATTTTCGATTATCACAGTAATAAAAACATTAATAACGTGATGTGATGGGATGTGATAGGTGCCAACATTTCAGAGAAACCTGCTGTGTTCTTCATCAGGGTACCCTAATTTTATACCAGTCTGATTTATAAGGAGAGACATGAATGTTGAAATCTTTTTATGCTTCTTGAATCACATCTTACACTCATTAATAAATATTTTATTCAGTTTACTGGTTTGATGTATATGTCATCTTATCTACACATTTATACAAACACACTGAAATAATACATAAGTACGGAACAAACTGGCCTAGAGGACTGGACTTTTATTCAGTAGGTACTTGGTTCATGTCTTAGTCTGAACATGGAGTATCCTAACTGAGGTTTCTCATTGTTTTCATTATATTACATTACATTGCATTCCCTGGATCCAAAGCTAGTCAAAATGACTGTAGGTTGTAAAATATGTCATATAAATACAAAAACATTTGTGTGGTACTACTGAAGTTTTCACACGAGAAAACCCAAGAAAACACAGTGGTTACACATAAGGCTCTTCAGAAATATGTCCACATATATACATCAATAGTTTTAATGCCATTTACACAACCTGTAAACAGATGAGTCATTTCTTAGACAATAAGTGTTCATCAACAGAGTATTGTTTTGGTGCTATTTTAAATCATACTTTTTCATTCATAAGACTTATGAGATCAGATGACAGATTAGTCCTCCGTTCCCCCAAGCAAATGTTGGGATAGTACTACATTAGAGCACTGCTTTCTGATCCATTTTACTTCATTAGTCATCCCATTATCTGATGCTCTATGGTCTTGATACTGCAAGCATCATTAAATGACCCATGAAAATAATACACGAGACTTAATTCAGTAAATCTGAATCCTTATTTTGTCCATATAGTCATACAGAGTAATAGTTTACTGTCTCATCATGCCATATCATATACTGCTGCAAAGTTGAAGATATGTTTGTTTGTCTAAATATGAATAATTTATTTTATGTTTGTGTTATACTTATTTTATTAGAGGTGTGCCTGTGTGAATTAAGTGTCACACTATGAAGATGTATGAAGGAGTAGAGATATAGCTCCATTCTTTCATTCTTTCTTCAACACTGGATGGATGTGAGTGGTCAGCTTCACACCCCACCTATTTTACCATCATCATATCATCGGGTCTGGTCAAGTGGGATTTGTGGTGGACAAAGTGACGCTGGGGCAGGTTTTCTCCAAGTACTTCGGTTTCCCCTGCCAATCTTCATTCCACCAGTTGCTTCACAATCACCCACACCTATCATCTGGGGCTGGTACAATAGGCCAGAAGTGGCCGCAGTACAAGGAACTTAGTCCTGCCCCACTAGCAATAAAAAAAAATCATCATATCATCATGTACAAGGTCTGGACTTTGTGACTCGTTCCAGTTCCAGTATTAGTTAAACTGGTCTCTTTTTCTGAGAAATCCCTGGTAATCACTAGAAAGAAAGTTTGATGAGCATCAAAGATGGTCTGGACATGGTGGCGAAGAGTAAACTCGCTCTCTGCGCTGGGGATCAAACTCCGATTCTGAAGTTGGATGCTGTAACTTTGTCACTGTACTGACCGATTTGCTTTATTCTTTGCATTTATGTAATTTTGTGGTATGAATTAAGTTGATAAAAATATTTAACAGATTAACATTTTAAGAATGAATAACAAGTGGCAAGTGCTGGACAAAATATTATGATTAAAATAGGCATTCCTAGAAAATGTAGTAAAGTCATCCCTGCTTATGATGGTCTGCTTTATGATGATTCACTTTTTATGTCAATTTTCCCATAGATCCAATAATCCAATTTTATGTCAACTTCTAACCAATATTCCTTAAACTGTTGTAAGGTCTTTTGTTTTTGACTCAGTTGAACTTAAATATTCTTTACCCAGAAACAATAGCTGATAGTGGCATAAGTGCTAATGCTGTTAAACCTATTACTTATTGCTAGCTTCTACATCAAAATATATGTTACTACAGCAGTCTGACACCTAATCTATCATAACACTGGAAAACTTGCTATATATGAGAATTATCTTGTTTATTTGAGTAATATCCTGCATTTATCCTGACTATTTTTAAACACTCAAAAGCTTTGGGTTGCAGATGGGCTTCATGTAGATTATTTTTGAAGCAGATTCTTTGGACTGAATAACAGAAACAGTTTTACTTATAGGATGTTTGTTTCTCAGAAGATTTCTCTCATCTAGGATATGAATCCATGCAGTATGGTAGAAAGTTACCAACTTTTTGGAAGAATCTTCTGCCTTCATCTTCAGAATATGATATTGTTTTTAAAAATTGTGCATAATATTAAGAGCAGTGTATGAATAAACTAACTTTTGGAACATTCATTAGTTCCATAACATTTTGTATATTAACTAAACCATTTGTTGCAGGATCATAATATTAACTGACTGACTCCTTGGAAGAGAATCTTCCTTGAAGTGCTAATAGCAATAATTAATAATAAACGCTCAGCATTCTGGAGAACGTGAAGGTTCATTCATGTGTTCACAAGAGGCCGCTACTGGCCCCTACCATCAACCAGATCAATCCATTCCACATTCATCCATCCTATTTTTAAGATTCATTTTTATATTATCCTCTCATCTGTGCCAAAGTCTTCCAAGTGTTTTTTTCTTTGTGTTTTTCTACCAGATTGATATATGCATTTATCTTCTCTGCCACTTCCATGTCATTATTCTTGATTTAATCAGGATTAAAATATATAATGTTTTAAAAGTAGCCCTACAGCTTTAAGTCAGGCTGTGAGTTGCCATGACAAATGTTTTTGTCTCTATATTTAGCCCTTGAGTAGGCAATGTTGTGACATACATTCATGTCACCATGTATATTCATGTATATTCACCATTATGGTTTCCAGTTCAAACAACTTTAAGATATGAATTTAAGGTTCTCACAGCTGTGGTTATGAAGGGTTCTGTCTTCTGGGATATAATGCCATGCAAGCTGCTGAAATTCAACCAATGTTTTGATGAAACATGTCATTTCTATCTTCAGGATTGAAAAATTATCAAAACATGTAACCAGTTTGAAGCTGGTAGCAGGCAGAGATTTCTTGCATGGCTTATTCTTTGACTCTGAAGATGGAGACGACGTGTTTCATCCAAATGTCGTTGACTTTCAATGGACTACACTGCATTATGTCCCAGAAATCAGAACTCTTCAACTTTTAAAATAGTGTCTGTACAATAATATGAACATAATCTTCAGTTGTTTTACTACTTTTGCAGGACTCTTAATAACAAATTTTGAGGATGAATTCAAAAATTCACTTGTAGGCATTTCTAAAGAAAAAGCATAGAACATAATTGAGCAGTCAGTGGCATAACATACGGATTTTTGATATTTGTTTTTTCAGGAACTTGAATTGACGCGTGTACGATTATGTGCAGAAGTGGATGAAAGAAATCAGCTTCTCACTAAAATTATTGGTGATGTAGAATCACTTGAGCGAGTGTTGGATCGAACAGCAAAGATGTTTAGGCAAGCTCACAGTGAACGTCAAGAATTTATTAGCCAGTGGGAAGGTTCAGTGCAAGTTCTACACCAGCGGGATTATGATATTCACAGTAGAGTGCAAGTATGAATATCATATATAGATTATAGTCATCTGGTATGAGTCACGATATAGTTTGGTAGATAGGTACCAATGTTTCAGTGAAACTTGCTGTCTCCAACTTTAGGTTCATCTATGTAAAATACTATAAGGTGGCATATCCGAGGAGACCAGAATCTTAATGTTCACTTTTGTGACAACTTCAAACTTAATCTCATAATTCTTTGTGAGGGTTATTTAGTTATGTTTCTTTAGTATTTAAATTTAAGATATACAGATTGTACATCTACAGCATACGTTCTACTCGTAGGATTGCCACCTTAGCCTGCAAACAGAATGACACCTTTCTCTTCAGTCTTATCAATAAGGGTGACCCTGCCAGGAGCTAAAGCTCTGGTGCACATGACTGTCACGTTCTTACATTCATGAAAGTCCTTCCACAATGCCAAGACAGCAGTATTCCTTGAATTATGTTGCAATGAATCCTGTTGGAATAACCCCCAAATCAAGTAATGAGCATTTACTGATGTAATTAAAAAAGATATCAGTGAGGATTTAGATTGCATCCAACAGCTATATCACAGTATCTGCACTTTGCTTTAACAGCCTTGGATACTGTACAAATTGGCAAGAGTATAGAGTCAATTTCATACTGCCTAGATTTGAACAAACTGCATAAGATTGTGGCATAATGTTTAGGCCGCATCTGACCACATGTTTTATCATTGAAATAATAAGATTTTTTTAAAATAAAATTTTATATTGGCAAAATGGTTAGGCCACATTGCAATTTTGGGATTGTTTTATGAAATTTTTTGTGAATTTGTCCAGTGAAATTAATTTTTATGTGACTTGTTTTTATGATCTCTTTACGTGAAGCTGTAACTGAATTTTATCAGATGGCCAAAAACATCTTCCCTATCATATATAATATTGTATTTGAGCATCATGTTGCATTAATATATAATTTATTTCATACAATATATTTCCATGTACAGTGCAACTTATACCTTATACATGAATGTATAAGAAATGTGTAGCTGAAAACAATCTGAACTTGACTTGATGAGGATTAATTCTATGACCCGCAATACAAGAATCCAGGACACTAGCCCATGAACTAAATTTAATTTAATTTCTTTTTTTTAGTTTACATAGTCCATAGCATTTCTAATGTAGAAGCATATGCATTAGGGTTAAGTAAATTTCATAAATTGTACCTGGAACTCCTCATTTCCCATCTCCATTTTAAATTTAGTCTTAGTAAACATCAAACTCATATACCATGGAAGAGTGACACCACAGTTTGTCATTTGCATTGCAATGAGTAGTAATTTCTATTTTATATAAATTTCTTTTTCAGGAAATATCCATGTTGCGTGCTGAAGCACGGAAAAAGCTAGAAATTCTAAGAGAGCAAGGGCAGTTTTTTAGAAATGAAGTAAATAATAACAAGGAAACAGAAGCCCAGATCTCGCTTATTACTCGTTCTGCTATCAGATTGCGAGATGATTACAGCACCTTACTCAACACTATTGATGAACTTACGAGTGAAGTAAGTAATCTTATTTATGTATGCCATGTATGTATAAGCCTGTGTCTTAAGATTATAGTTCTCTGGCATGTGATGTGAAGTAGTATAACAGACAATATTTTAGAGGAATATGACTGAACCCTGAAGACAGAGGCAGCACATTCCTCTGAAATGTTGCTATCTATCTACCATATTACATGAGATCATATACCAGTAGACTGTAATATTCCCTTGTTCATACGCATTTAAACGTCTGTGCTTGAAATGCTCTAGTGACTGAAAACATGCTTTATTTTTCCTGCATGTATATGATGGCTTCACTGTTGCAGAATACTGCCCCATCATGTCTAATAATAATTCTGACAGTGATATTTTCAAAATAGGAACCCTTGTGAGATGCCATTGAACAATGCTTTCAACTATATGTTTTGTTTTCTGTTTTTTTTTTTTCTAAATACACATAACACCTGAATGGATTCTTCTTTCTCCCTTCTCCTCCTGCACTGTTTTTTTCTAATTTATGCATGTTGAAGACTCCTGACAGACTTTCAAGTGGATGTTTGTAGGTAGGGTTCCCTTGACATAAGCTGATCTTCTGCAGAAGTACTGCCTTTTGATTGCTTTCCATTTCTGAAGTCTGTTCTCTTGCTGTTTCATACAGGAATTTCTTGCATCTTATTCTGACAAATGAATTAAAAATGTCTTAATAGAATTTTCATAAACACAGAAAACATTGAAAGAGCACAGTTAGTTTGTTACAGTGCCACCTTCTGTGGCTCAACATGCTGTAATATCTCAAGTACTGGTTAGCCCTGTTGATTCCTTTCATGTATCTGTTGAATTGAACAGTCAAATGATGATTCTTGGTATCTTTGCCCATTTGTATAACCTTCTGACAGATATAAACAGCTTTTGAATTTTGTGATGCTGTGCTTGTAAACAGCTGGACAAGAACTGTTGTAATCATGAGTATGACGCTTTAATCAGGCAAAAGGAAGTGTGAATTTGTATTTGGTCTTAATACTTATCAGAGGCAGTCAGTTCCTAAAACAGTGATATATTTGTTAGCTAATAATCCCTAGCAGAGTTGTAGCTGATGCTGAATGGTTACAGTTCAACAAAGTATACTGGTGTACATTACACAATGAATATGCATAAAAAAGAAGTTCCCCAACATGTACAAATGTCACTGGAAAATGAATCATAGTGATCACTGTGATCCATGCACATATTATCACTAACCACCATGAGAACACCTGAAACTCATAAGCCTGTTTTTTCATCTCTTGTTCTTCATGCCTCTTTCTCTTTCTGCTTCTCCCTCCTCCCACTCCTCCAACTCATCCTTCTTCACTTCCAACTTCTTTTAACACTACACCACCATGACTCATAGGTTTGTCACCATCACTTTTGTTTTCCACACCAATCTCCCTGATCCATTTTATTGCAAGTATTTCAGTATCAATTCTATGTTTTGTTTAGCTTGGAACAATGCAGCGCACATTGACAGGAACTGCTTTACACCTGGAAAACCAGCGGCAAAGGAAGAAAGTGCTGGCCAATGATAATGTAGCCAAACATAATCATATTAAAGAACTAGTTGAAGTGGTGCAGAGAACAAAAGAACGGTTGGCACAGGTTACTGACAGGACTATGTCTGCAGCTGAGAGGGCACAACATTTGGAAGAGATGATAAAGGTAAATTAAATGGGAATTTCTATTTATTGATATTTACATAGACCAAAAGTGATAAAATATTCTTGGGAAACCTGCTGCATCAATTCAGAATTGAAGTCTAACTTTTCAGAGAGGTTCTATCTTTCTGACATGATGAAATGATAGGTAGGCCACTTGAGAAGATTTTGTCACTATTTGATCTAAATTTGAATCAACTTTTGAATGACTAGAGTTATCTGCAATCATATTGAGATTTGTTTGTTACAGTTATAGGCTCTAATATCAAAAGGAAGCATCTGTTTGTTGAATGACAATAAATACTGTCACATGTTGGGTATGTCACGCGACAAATAACTTCATGTGGGTTTTGGATTTAGCGAATCTTTATTGGACACTCACACTTACACACCTTACAATTGTTATCATTTGCAATGTCACTTGACTTCTGGCTTAATACTTCAATACTCTAATACTCAATGTGATGTCTCAACTATCCTTGGCTGTGGTTGGAGCTCAACTCTCTCTGGCAGCGGCTATCCCAAGAGTGTCTCGTTCTCAATGCTCAATCTTCAATGCTCTGTATGTGTCATAAGCTCTGCTTATATAGGGGTTATGTAGACCGGATACCAGACACCATTCCTTACGGTCCCGTTTCTACTATATCGATAGTCGGTTGTTACATAACGGACCTTCTGTTGTCCATCTCCGGGGCAACGCGTTCGTTGTTTCGGCATTGTCTATGCAGCGGCTCACTGTTATTGCGTTACCATGGAAGTGCCTACTCTAAACACGTTACAGTATGTTAAACACAATTTAAAATTTGAAGCTTTCACAGAGACTCAGTGTAGAGAAGCCCTTTTGAGCCATCAGCCATGCCAGTGTGTAGCGACATGACTGATCACCCAAGAAGACCTAATTGCAATGAATACAGCTGCAAATTTGTGTGTGTGTGTGTGTGTGCATGCACATTCCATGCTGCTACCACCATTTAATGGCTCCAACCTTTGCATTCCTCACAACTCTCAAGATTAGAATCTTTTGGTGTAAGATTAAATTTGGTATGAAACATCCACTGTTGGAAAAGTAGCATTGCATGCATTGTTTGCATCAAGTCACTGAAATAAACACATAATGGGGAACTTGTGTTTGTCTCTCCACTTACTTCATCTTCAGAAATACTAAATGAATTTGTATGAAAGCTTGTGTTGGAAGTTGAAATTGTAAGTTGCTGGGTGAATTTCATTTTGGTTTCAATTTCCAGTGATCTCCTTACTTTACACAGAGTTCACACTAAGTTGCTGGGTGAATTTCATTTTTGTTCCTATTTCCAGTGAACTCTTTACTTCACACAAAGTTCAAATCAAACTTTTCGTTTTGCTGCGATATAATACCATGCAGTTCATTGAAAGTCAACTGATGTTTTGGAGCAACATGCCACCTCCATCTTCTGGGTTGAAGAGTAAAGGAAACAAGAAACTGGAATGAAGCAGGCAGCAAGCTGAACAAACTAATGGTATTATATTCCAGAAGATAGAACTCTTCACAACCACTGTTGTGAGAACCTCAAATCCCACAACATTTTTTATTGTACTAAAAATGGCTCATTATATAAAAATTGATGTAAGACATATTTTAACCGTTTGCTTTCAGTGTGAGGAGAAGACGATAGATATCTTACTCCAGGACACGAGGAAACTCAGTGACAAACTGTTTAAAACCCAACAAGAATTATCTGATCTTAAAAAGCAAGAGGAACAGCATCATATTGAAATCCGTGGACTGGAATCAGAAAAATCTGTGGTTTTGTCTCATATTCAGAGAACACAGAAAGAGCTTCAATACCAGAGGGAGATTATCTACAACAAGGTAATTAATTCTGCAGAACTAACTCCAAACAATCTGGTCCTCCATGAGAAGTATGTAGCTGTTTAAAAGATCAGATTTTGTCAAAACTAAGCTCACATTCTAATATCTCAGTATTATGCATTCTGTCTACTTACTTCAATAATAAAATGTGTAATTAATGTTTTATATGTTTTTTGCCTTAATCTGTTGTAATTACATCCATTCATTTGGTTCAGATTCTATATGAACTACAGATTTAGCCTACTTCCTCTTATCTACGTGTATTAATATTTAAGCTACTTGGAGGCTGTTTTGGGGACATTATCACTGCCTTGCTTGCTGACTTTCCTGTTCATTCAGCTATGGTGACAGTGAGGCTACAAAAATACCATAGAGTGAAATATACTTGCATAGGTTATAGGAAATTCTAAAAATGTTCCACATTGTCTTGGACACATTCCCCACCTCGAAACACATGCTGGCTCACATGCTGCAGTTGTGTGCATTTATGAAATGCTTCAAGCTGAATGTTTCTCTGAGTTGTTCTATCTGGATCGATTTGATATATTCTACAGTGTAAATATCTCCTGAAAAAGTGATCGGGTGGAATACTGCCAGGAGAACAAGATGGTCATAAACTGTGACTTATAATCCTCTTACGAAACACTCTATTCAAATTTGTGTGAAATGTAATTTCCTAACTTGGCTTCTTCTTCCATCTGCAAATGCAGTGGAAGGAGTCCTAGTAGGGTTTCTATTGCAGCTGTTGGAGCTGTTCTCATTGATCCCGTAATTCCCAAGCAGGCTGTCCTTTGCAGTTTGCTAAGTTCTGCCTGACTTGTCTTGAGTTTAACTCGAGGCCACCATGTAGTGGTGGCATAGGTGATTATGGGTCTTACCACTGGAGTGTATATCCAGTATACCACCTTTGGTGTCAGTCCCCAAGTCTTCCCAAACATGCCTCTGCATGTCCAGAAGGCTTTATAGGCCTTATTAATAGCCTTATCCAGCTATTGTTTCCATGTCAGCCTCTTGTCTAATGTTAATCCAAGGTACTTGACTTCACTGGATAGCCGGATCACTTGACTGAAGAGTATTGGTTCTTTGAGCCCCTTTATAGCCCTCTTCCTAGTAAAGGGTACAATCACCATCTTGTTTTGATTGATAGACAAGTTTGTCCTTTCGCACCACTGTTGAACTTTAGCAAGGTACTTGACTTCACTGGATAGCCGGATCGCTTGACTGAAGAGTATTGGTTCTTTGAGCCTCTTTATAGCCCTCTTCCTAGTAAAGGGTACAATCACCATCTTGTTTTGATTGATAGACAAGTTTGTCCTTTCGCACCACTGTTGAACTTTAGACAGGGCTGTTTGTAAGACCTCTGATACAGTATGTGGGAATTTTCCATTAATTAGGATTGCTATATCATCAGCAAAATAGTAGTATCAGTCACAGATCAAACATTAGAAACACTTCAGTGAACTGCCAAAATTTACTATTCTAACCGCCATTATTTTGCCTTTGCAATTTATTTATTCTTACAGGAATTTGAAGCCCAAATGATTGAGTCTCGCATTGGTCACCTCACAGGTACTGGTCAAGATGCTGAAGAAAAAGAAGCCAATGAGAAGAAGATTGCAGAGCTGGAAGAGGTTCTCAATGAAAAAATGGCAACTTTCGACCTACTTACAGCCCAGAACCAAAGATTAGAGGTAAAACAATAAACAGAAGTTAGTATGCTATGATATTTGCTACTAATTTTGCATTTATAGACTTTTTTAAATTTTTAATTCCAAATTACAAATTGTATTTGAAATGGCAGAATAGGATGCAGAGGTTGACCAAGGCCCTCAGTGCAGGTTCAGCAGAGCTAGAAAAGCTGGTAGATAAACGCCAGGATAAAATCCTGCTAACAGATGGTGGACAGAAACAGCTGAAGCTCAACAAGGTTCACAATCAAGAGAAGCAGGTGGAGGAGAATATTCTTCTTCTCAGGGTGGCTCAGGCTGAAAGAGCAATAGCCCAAGAAGGGAATAAAGTACACACACTGGAGAAGCAGAAGCTTGAATTGGATGCTGTAAGTTACATTGAATGAGATTACCACATTTTCAGTATATTACTATTGCTGCTGTCTTTGGAAATCTAAGAACCTTACACATCTACAAATTTCTGAATTTTTTTTTTCACAGAAAAGTCTGCAAAGCAGTGGAAGAAACTGCTCAGAAAATGTAACATCTATAGGTTCTTGTACTCCAACACGTTATTTCTGGGACCTGCCCATTTCTTGTGGGGTAGTTATATAAAAAAATTGTATTCGTGCACTAAAATAACATGCCTGTTTTGGAACTTCATGTGCATAAAATTGTAGTATACCCTTGCAGCTTGAACACATGACTAAGCAATCTTAAAAAATAACAAGAAACTCTGGGGGAAGATCGCCTACTTTCTTTTGATATGACACAGACTGCATAGAAAATGACACATTCAACAATTCTTCATTGCTGCAGGAATGTATTTNTTCATAGCAGCTTGAATACATGACTAAGCAATCTTAAAAAAATAAGAAGTTCCCGGGGGTGGGGCGGAGGGAATCGCCAACTTTCTTTTGATATGACACAGACTGCATAGAAAATGACGCATTCAATAATTCTTCATTGCTGCAGGAATGTATTTACCAAGCTGTTGCCTAGCAGTGAGGGAGGGAGGATACACACAGACAAACTCACAGTCTCTCCTTTAATATGACATGGACCACATGGGAAACAGCTTATTCAACAGTTCTTCTGTTGTTGCAGAAACATATTTACTGAGACGGTACCTAGCAACAATAGGGAGGATATGCATACAGACATACAGAATGATGGGAGGGATTTATGAAGTATGCCACTGAGATGGGTTCAGGTGCCATTATATATACCAAGTTTCATAAACATTTGTTTAGACATTAAGAAGTGGATAAGGGGGATACACATGCAGACACACAGATACACAGAAGTTAAGGTGATCTCATCGGCCTAGTTTTGTAGTTTCAGAATATAGAAAGTGGGCTGAAAATGGAAAGACATCCAACCATAATCTATTGTAATTTTTAGCTTTTCCTTTTGGCCAGGTTCTTCACAGTACCTTTAATTATTGTACTTTCACACAGGATGGAATTTTTCCAAATGGCACAAATGTAAAATTATTCATAATGTGATAGATATTAGGAAATGAGCCATATTCATCTTTTTGGTACCCAGTGCCTCTTCACTGAAATAGAAGGATGTCAGTTGCTTTTCCAAAGGTAGCTCACCAGTACTGATTTCAGATTTTCACAATGATAAATTATTGATACTGATTTTATTTTTGGGTTGTTACACTGAAAGGTTGTGGGCCATGTTGCCATTATATTATATTGTAGTATCTTGCTGCACTTTTCACATAGTGAAATCCTTTAAAGTGAATAACTTTTAGTAGATTTTATAGAACATAGTGTTGCAGGTGAAACTGCAAAAAAAAAAAAAAAAAAAAAAAAAACAGTTGACACATGCTGATATTGTTTCAGAGGCTGCATGTACCTCCAAATCTTCAGCACATAACCACAACCACGTTGTGTTACAACCCAAGAACAAAATTAGCACCTGTATTAACCATTTTTTTTCTGTGCTGCAACATTTGGGTAAAACAAGACAGTTTATACATCTACTGTACAAATTTTTAAGACACTCCTGTACCTAATTTTGGAAATATAAGAAACTGAGTAATTTCCTTAGGGTTGTCTCTCCAAGAGGAACATGTTTTATATTTACTATCTTTTTCCATTATGCATTGGGAGAAGTGGTGTGTGACAGACAGGCTATACATGTGTGGTGTACCCATACAAATAATCTGCACTGCAATTGCAGGAACTGTTTCTGTTGTTCTGATGGTTACTTACACATGCATACATATGTGTACATTTAATATCTCTATGTTCTTGGACTCACATGACCCTCACATCACAATTTCTGTGGGTCCGACCATTTAAAAAAGAATTATATTCCCATGCCAAAATGGCCTGTCTTTGGAATTTCACATGCATAGAATTTTTGTAGGGCCTACTTTATACACGGTGTCCCAGGAGAAATGTGCCAGACTTTTGGAGGGTGTTCCTTATGTTAAAGTATGCTGATATAACCCAAAACACCTATGTCCAAAGTTGAGGGGTTACGGAGATAATGGCCAGAGAAGTGTGAAACTTTGACAGGTGTTACACACTTGTTGATTACCAAATACACATTAAAACTGGCAGGAATATGTGGTTTCTGTAATGTTAATAATGTACGTAACATCAAACTAACATGTGAGTGGCATGAAGCCATTAAATTGAACTACAAAAAAACTTGCACGCCATCTCATAGTTGTCATTAGGGTTCCAAGCACTATACATGACACATGAATTGCAAACACTGATGTAACATGGGTGACTGCGCATTCTGGTATGCGAGTGTATGCGGCTAGTGTGAGCCATTATCACCACACTCAAGAACAAACATCGATAAAACTTGTCAGCTGACAGGTACAGTGCATGGACCCGCCAGAAGACCACACTTTTCTGGGGCCATTATCTCCGTAATCGTTCAACTTTGGACATAGGTGTTTTGGGTTATATCGGCATACTTTAACATAAGGAACACCCTCCCGGGACACCCTGTATAAGTGTGCGATGACTGGAGAGTAGTGAGCCAATCGCCACACCATCGGTTTGTTCCTAGAATTGGCCATTGAAGCTGAAATATGAGGTGGTCAGGACATGGCAGAAGAGTCTCAAGATATCTTCTTCGAAATGTCATCCTAGCAGATCCATAGTATCCTTTATAGGCACCCTCATGAAGAGTGACACCACATCGAAACTGACCATTAAGCCATGAGGATCAACTTGGAGAGAACCCAAGGTGTGGACAAATTCCATTGAGTTACTCATGTGGTGTGGACAGTTGCCAGTGTTGTTGCTCAGTAGGCCAGCCAAGTGTTTGGCCAAGCAATAGGTAGTAGAACCAATAGTGCTCACAGTGGGTCTTAATGGAACATCAGGCTTGTGGATCTTCGGCAACCCATAGAGTTTAGGTGGCCTAGAACCTTGTGGTCGTAGCTGTTGGCAGACCTCAGCAATCAGGGACTTTTTCAGGAGAAGAACAGTCTTGTGCTCTATGGAATCAGACAGGATGAATGATAATGTTCAAAACGGCAATAATTATATTAATATACTACCATTACAAACTTGTAAATCTTGTTTAGTGTAAACTTGCTGTCTTACTGTGGTTACTATGAAATATATGAAAGTTATGTACTCATTGTTGTCATAGTGCCAGTACTTGCCTTATGGGGCAAATTATGGAGAAAGAAACTGACATGGACTCACAGCCCACATTCAATGTAACAGGGTTGGCCCTCTAAGCAGGCTATTTTTTGTCTTTACCATTTTTTATGACATGAAATGTGGAAGAAACAATGGGTTTGACAGACAGATGAAGGGATGGAGTTTGGCTGTTGTATATATGGATACTTACCAAATAACTTTATAGAGGTGGGTCTGAATTTGTCCACTACATTAGAGACAGAACTTGGGACATAGAAAACTTTTAAATTCGTGAACTGGGAATTTACAAGCTTGAAAATTTAGTGAATTTGTAAATTAGCAATCTGTTAAGGTAGTGAAATGTGGAGTTAACAAACTGGGTAGTTGGAAAACTGTTAAATTAGTGAACTGGGAAGTTAAAAAACTGGAAAACTGATGCTTCAGAGTTAAAAAACTATTAAGTAAGTGAGCTTGAAGTTAGCAAACTATGAAGTTAATCATGGAGGTAGCAAATTGTAAAGTTAGTGAACTCGGAAGTTGGCACATGTGTATAAAGTACTGCCTGAAATCAGCTTGAGGTGCAGATGGACTCCAGAAGCATGTTTACTCATTTATCATTGGTCAATTAATAGATATCAGTAATAAATATGAAATTATTTATATGAATCACAATATGAGAATAAGAGAAAGGGGATTTTGTTAAGATGCCAATAGATGTTAGTCATATATTGGTCTCACAAAAAATATTTGTATAGAGCCTACTGTGAGGCTATATATGAATCAATATTGTTAAATGACTTGTATATACATATATGTAAATTGTATTTCTGCATCACAATGAAGAAACATTGTTCATAAATTGACACTGCTTTATAACACAAATTCAGGCTATGAAGGAGCGGAAAGTGGAGATTGGTGTGCACAAAGATGTCCTCTTCATTCAGAAACGAAACTTGAGTGAAGAGAAATCTCACTTAATAGCTGACATCAAAGCATGTGAATTGAAAATCAGCCAGCTGCAGAAGAAATATGATATTGTTATGAGTTCACTTGGGCAAGCTGAAGATGGAGAACAACTTTCAGTCACATATTTCAAAATAAAGGTAATATATGTAATAAGATATGTTACTATGATGTTAATTTCATGTCCCAAATAAATCTCTTATTACATCTTAGAATATATTCAAAATAGCAAACGAGTTTTTGCAGAGTTCTGTTAGAGGCTATGAACACTGCTATGCTTGTAATACATTCTGGCTGCACAATTTAATCACTTTTATTGATTGATTGATT